CGGCAGCCTTGTAGTCCAACTTGCTATCTTAAATTACATTTTGTGAAATATATATCACCTGGAGGTTCATGTCTTATCCATTTGCGGTCCAAATTCCTCTCGCCTACCATTTGCGGCTCCATTTACCACTTTGTTTCCTAGGTGCTAGAGGCATGCCGGACTGAACTTAAGTTGAACATGATCCCTCCTACTCTTGCTTCACACCGTGACCTCTCGGTGTTTACAAAATTCCAGAAAAATGCAAAAGATTCTACCCTTTCATGCCTATTCAAAGACGCTTTACCTATCAGCTTTTGCAGTACTGAAAGAGTGGGAAGAAGCACTGCTGTTTGCTGGCAGATTTCTGTCCCCTAATCTATCCCACACATGGGTAGAAAGAATGTCCAAACAGTTTAACTGTCTGGAGAATTCTTGGCTCCAATACTAGAAATGTTCTGGTAGTGATGTCTTGTTGCATGTAGTGTCGTAGGCGTGGGTGGGGATAGTAACAGGAAAAGTTGCTTGCTTAGCAACTAATTCAAAACACAGTTGTGGTTGCAGAATACTGTAGTCATTGCTTTATGATTCACTTCACGATTAGAGCTTGCAGCTTTGGATATTTGCCAAAAGAAAAAGGGCTCACCTGTGCTAGATATTGATTATTATTGAATCTTGACAAGTCAATATATCAATTATAGTGTTTACCCTCGATTTTTCCCAGGTGAAATTGATTGCAATATCCTCCTGTTACAGCTTTTCTCCAATGCTCATCCAGAGAAAAATAAACCTTTTTTTAAACATGCTTGAAAGCAAAATAGTCAGCTTTACCTGACTGATTGGACTACTGAAAAAGCAATGGTAGGGAAATCTCAGTATATTTGTACCTGAGGCACTCCAGCTCTGAGTGAGATATCTCCCTGTTATTTGTTATGCTTATCTCTCTCTGCACACGTTTTCTGATCATTGAAGGAGAATCCAGCGGACTCAGGGCCTGTCTTTGAACACAGGGCAGCGGAGTGTGCTCCGCATCACTGCCAGCATCACAGAGAAGGAGAATTTCCAATTTGTATGCCTGCACACGGGGAGGGGATGGATAGGAATATGTATAGTCCCTCAGCAAATCTACCTGTGTTAATGCACTGGTTTATCTGCAGAGCACATCATATGTCAACTACCCCTGTAATAACCAATTTGCACCTCAGTTGGCCGGAAATGTTCAGTGTGTGACTTTCATGTCTCAGGTTGGCTGTGTGTATGCTGCATTACAATCTGACCCCTACATGTCAGTTTGAATAATTCAGCAGTTTTCTTGGCCCTTTCGATCGGCAGGTTCGCCAAGATCGCCCCGTAGTTCTTGGCCTCTTCTGAAAGATTTTAAAAGGCAAAAGCCCTTTCGCAAGTGGAACAAACCTTGCCTTGCATGTGCATTCCCCCTTATTACCGAACATCTGGGAAAGTAACAATTGATGCAGGGTCGTGCCTCCAATTTCTGGAATGGCTTTTATGGCTAGAGATGTTCCAGTGCACGTTGCTGGGAGGGAGAGGATTGTGAAAAATGGGGTCACCTTATTCCTGGCATATTCCTTGCACCAAGTGTGATGGGTGTGGGCCTGGAAACGGAGATGTTAAGGCTAGGTCTGGGTTTTCCATATGTTACACCTGTGCACGCATGATTGTCCAAGGATGTTGAGTACTTGATACCTCATTACGTTCATGAATCTGAAATGGCCTCTTTCGCCAAGCTTAGGAGTGGAGGTGAAGGGAAATGCGTGTCCTTGGCAGCAGGAAAGCTAACAAGATTCACCTGATGTTGGCCCCCCTCCCCCATTCCTGAAATGCTTTTCCTTCCACACATCCTGGCTTGTGTCAAATTATTGAACAAAGAGCACCAGTCTGCCTGGTGGCAGTACAGGTACTAATGTTGCATGTCTTTGATATACGAGCGCTGCCACCCTAAAAGGGTATAAGTTATTCTGTTGGCACAGGATCTTGCTTCTTTGAATGCTTGGTGCCACTTGGAATATATCTTCCCGCAATTCCGAGTGTTTGAAGACAATACAGGTGGGGGCAGGCAGTTGGCTGCTGCGTGGACTTGGAGTGTGTAGGATGCTGGGGAATTTCTAGGTCCTGTGTGGGATGCTGGGGAATTTCTGGGCCCTTCGGCTGACAGGAAGCATTTGGCTCATCCGTTTTGTCCTTCAGAGGGCCTTTTGTCAAATTCTGGCTCATTGAATCCTTAATGAATTCCTTTCTGTGGCGATGATCACTGGGGACAGAGCAGACATGAACTGGATCATTACTCACAAAGTCACCTGGGTCACTTGCAGTGCACAACAGAGAAATGGGCAGTTACCATGGTAACCGCTCTGGTCTGATTACATCACTTCTCGGCGGTGACCTCTGGTGACCCCTGTGGCTTTGTGGCCGTGCCAAAGTAACCACAACAATCTTCAACTGTCCTGGTGATTAAAAACGGTTGGAGAGTTATATAGGAGGTTCTAACAATAAGTTTGCAAAATTGATCTTCCATAACAGATATGAAGTTTCAAATTTCCATATTTGTCCCTCCTTCCGCTACTGTTCAGACGTGTCCCATGGGAGAATCACTTGTCCAGGAATTCATGATTAAACTCCAGCACCCATCCCCCCAGTCACCCCTAATTCTGTTAGATCTTGCATATTTATCGCGTCCGCTTTCATATGGATGGATTGGTGTTTGATGTTGTCATTTTTGTGGTTACTCTTGTTACTACAGCGGACCTTTGTGACCATGGGGGGTGCTAATGAGGTGATAGTCCCTTGTGAGATCCCCCATAGAGCTGATCAGTGATAAGATAATTCTGTTGTACCTTTTGTCTGGGTGCCTGGTTAAGTACAGCAAAATGTTTCCTGCTAAAACCCTGGCATCTGAACTTACCAGGGCTAATCTGTGTTTGTGTGTTGTAACCAGAGCTATGTTTTCCCATGAAAACACCATTAAAGCCCCCCTCCCCATCTGGCTACTCCTTAGACTCCATCACTTATAGATTCTACATCCAGCAATGTTCATGTTGCTTCTACCTTGCACCTAATTTTGCTCACCAAGGCTATTAACTAATCAGAAATATGAAAATTGTAAGCCACGTTCCTCGGGGATCCGAAAGGAACTCAGGTATGCATTAGATTCAACATGAAATTGATATTTTGCAAATCTATAGGGAGGGAGGCGGGAGAATGAATCAATCTTCCTCAGTTCCTGCTTAGTTAATTGCAGGCAGCACAAAAATCCCCCCTCAACTTTACATTCCTTCAGTTCCGAGCTTGTCCCTTCAGATTTCTCGGTGCAGCTTCTGTAGTAAGAGCCAGTGTCTGTGGGTGTCTTCAAGCCAAGGGATGCCATTTGCATCTTTTCAATTAGGTCCCTTGGTTTGACCTATTGTCCCTTCCAGGAGGATATTCTCATGCAAACCTGGTGTCAAAAGGCTGGGAGCCATTCATCAGGGGGGTGCTTTTGAATGCCTTACTATTCCATCTTCAGTGGCGGCTGCATTTTCCTTGTACCGCATTGATGAAATGTGTAAAGACTATTGTCCGCTGGTTCTTGAAGGTGTTGTCCGACAAGTAAAACAGGCTCCACTCCGGGTTTAGGACCTTTATTGAATGCATACTGTGGGCAGTAAAAAGAAAGGGGGAAAATCCTGTGGGGTACATGTATTTACAGTTCATCTGTTCATGTAAGGTTGAATTACTTTTGGAGCTTTTGTGCTAGTAGACATGTAGCATATCTTGCTACAGGTAAGAAAATGATACTGAAATCGCCATAAAAACTACAGTTTTCCCCTCCAATGGTTTGTTGTTTGAAATGGATTTTGTTGTGATAGCCAGAGTTCATAATGTGGGTGGTAATCATCCCGGTAATAAAAGGGTTTACCGCACACATGTAATAAAATGTGACGAATGTCGCACCCCAATTTCACCTCACGGCTTATCAAGTCCATTGGAATGTGTTTTCTATGCATAGCTTGTATATTATCACCGAGATGCAAACTGCAGCAAAGCCCATGCCACCGTGTGCCTAAACCACTCTCTGCTTTGCAGTATCAATATTGGCCTTCAAGTTCAGGCTTCAAGATAAACTTTAATGAATTCTTTGTCATCAGGTTGATTTATTGGATTGTATAAGAGAACAGAAACAGCTGTTGGAATGCCTAACCAGAAAGTAGGATGAAAGCCTATCTCTAACCAAGAAGATGACATTTGCCAAAATTAATTTAATACCGGCTGGTTGAACTTGTAATATAAAATGCAAAGTATGCAATGTCTAATGAATAAAACATGGTGTATTGTGTTTACTTTGATTAAGAACTGCTATGAGCAACTGCGCTGTGTAATTAATGTTATTTGTTGGTGGTAATTTGTCGGCAGGGTGGCGCAGCAAACGTTAATTCCACCGGAAGAAAACAGAGGAATTTGGCGTTCCCTAACCTATTTATTCTGGCAACAGGCCAGGCATGCCAAATTGGTGCTTGTATAAAGTCATCGACAGGCACAAGTCGTTATAAAACTATGCCTGTCTAACGACTGGTTATAACACTTGAGATGCACAGGATTCTTCTGATACATTGATAAGTGCATGCAATAGTAAATTAAAGCCTGGCATTCCTGTGATATGAAAATTGTGCAGATATTTCCATTAGACTACAATGTTCATTTATACATGTAGGTAGCATCCGTTCTTACTCTCCAAGCAGAAGGTTGGGTTATTTTTTGGCGTGTTTTTAGACTTTTTTATCAGGGTTTCTTTTTTGCACTTTTTCTTTTTGGGTTGGGTGAAAGAAAAATTCCAGTGCAAAAAAGAAACCCCGATAAAAAAGTGTAAAAGCATGCCAAAAATAACCCCAAACCCAAACTTCTGTTTGGAGAGTAACCCATATTTACCTGAACACAAATGGTATACAAATAGTGTTGCAATGTAAGAATGACTGTATGGAGTAAAAGTAATAAAGATATTAATATGTATTGTTGTTGTGTCCTCTGTGCAGGTCTGATCACGACAACAAGCCGGAGATTAGACAGAGAGCAGCAGGCCGAGCACATACTGGAGGTATGTCCATGTTTACACTTGTCCCCTGCCATCTTCTCTGTTTGGCGAGGAAGAGCGTTGTTGACCAACATTACCATATTCACGTGCTCCCAGTTGGCAAGCAAATACCATCCCTTGACTGGACACTGGCAAGCCGAGACATGTCCCCAGGCTTGTCAATGTACCTTCTCAATTGTTAAATAGGAAAATTACCATATAAGAGACTGTTGTCTACTCGGCTACCTGTGTGAAAACAAAGGGAGGGGCCATCTGTTATCTTACTTCCTAGCAGGTTATAAATACCTGATACAGATAAGCCGAGTACAATATGCAGCAATTTGTGAAAGATTCCTAACAATAATATAATGTAAATTTCACGCCCTTTGTTCTCTGGGAGGTTGGGCCTCGGTCGTTATGCGATCAGCAAGCTGGCTTTGAATCATGGAAGAGGTTTTTCATTATTTATAGAAGGTGGCGTCCGCTTGTTTCCATGCGGAAGCAGGGTGTGTACGTACCACAAAAGGCTTTTCACGTCAAGTACACTTCAAAGAGTAGGACTGGCTCAAGCTGGTAACTGTTCCCCTTTGTTCGCAGGCTATACTTTTGTTGGAACAGTTAACAGGTTCAGGATCAAACAAAACACAGCCCTTCCAGTCATGACACGTCGATAGCTGCAGTAGAGATACTGCTTTTATTGTCTTCGTAAATTCTTGTCAAAGCTAAAGGTATTGATGATAGACTTTGCTCACATCCTCCCTGCCCTTCGACGAAAAGGTTTTGCCGGCGATTTTTCGCAGAGGGAAGGGCGGCAAAACTCCCGGTCAATAGCCGGGATTTCCCATTGATTTTTACCGGGCCCAATGTCACATGATAATTTTATACTTCACTTCACTTTGAGCTTTTCATTGCTCTGACAAAAATTGGGGCCATGGTGCCTTCCTCCCCAGTCCTGGTTGATAATTTGCAGAAATTCTTGTGTTCGGTTTTGCCAAGTAAGGTTAAGATTCACCCTTTGATTCAACATCATAGGCTAAACGCATGGCTAAAATGTTATCGAAGATTAGAAGTAAAGGCGTAGCCTCTCTGAGTCCTGCATGATTGAACGGGCATTCGGCACCCTGGCTAAATTGATGGGGGCGCCCTGACCTTCCTCGCTCACTGGGCTTGGGGAGAGGCAGGCATTTCCAGAGATGATTTGGTGGAAGGATGGAGCAAAATTAAAGGCCTGCCAATCAATGGACGTAAACTCCACGAGCTGATCCCCCACTCAGTCATGGCACACGAAGGATCTACAGCTAGTTTGGGCATTATGTACCCTCCAACTTGCCTGTCACAACTCTCTGCTCTCCAAACTTATGATGGATGGGGAGGATGAAAGGTATCAAGCACCCATTCCCAGTTACAAGTGAATCCCATTTCTGAACCTAATTTCCAACCAGGACTGTTGAAAGCCGGGAGAAGAATAAAAACGGAAGGGGAGCCAAGGTTACCAAGGTTAGATTTAATGAATACGCTGGTCATACAAAGGCCACTGCAAACAAGCTTTCAACAAAGTAACATTGACAGACTATACTGGTGGGAAGAGGGTTGTTAGTATGACCCCTGAACCTCAGTGCTTTGCCCAAAACAGGTTATTTTGAATTTTGTGATGTATCTTTTCTTCTGTATTGTATCTCGTAAAATAGCTGTAACGGTTAAACCTTGCTAATTGGGAGCAATCTAGACAAAAGCCATAATTCCCTGCATTTAAAGTGGAGACACAAGACTGAACAAATACAGTCAACCATGGCCATAAACATGACATACAATCTCAGTTGTCAACTTTATAGTGGGCTGGATTCATTAACAGTTAAACTCTAGGCATGGCCCAAGGGGGGACGCAACATGTCGAATAGTTACATGTGTCAGTTTAGTATTCCGTTACATTGTTCACTTGTCAAAGACAATAACTTTTCCCACCTCTCCAAACAAAGTGAATAAGGGACTGTTCTTCTGAACATTCACAGCCTCTGAAAACGTAATAAGATTTCTGATCATGATTCATAGGTATCCAGATTTAGTTACAGATTTGATTGGTAAAATTCTTGTTATCACAATTGACCCCAGCAGTCTATTTTGTCTGCCATATGATCAGATTGTTTTGATTCTTCAATCAGTTCAGTCCAGTTCAGACTCATGACCTATGATTCTTCTATATTTCTTTAGGAAGTCAATCTCTCACATAGATTGAATATGGTAAAGTATTCAGCACTCAGTTTGAATGGCCCACAGGAGAGAGCTCAGACCCTGATCTCCAGTAGTGTGGGGCAGCACACTTGATATTGGATTGGCTGGCAGGTGTGTAAATGGTCCCAAAAGGTGACATTGGTAGAACAATGAGGCTGCACCAGTTATGTAGGTCACAGCCGTAAATACCCCCCTCCCCACCCCACCATCAGAATTAATTTCAGCAACCTGTGCCCGAATCCACTTACTGCAAAATGTGAAAATGCTCTTAACATTTCAAGAAGAGTGGAACAGAAATGAGGGGTGGTGCAGGGTCTGGAGAGTTGGCCGGCTTTCAGTCACAGAGCGAATTTGATTTAAATGACGCGATGATTGCGTGGCATTTGTATCGTAGATATGCAGGCGGCGTTCTTCATGTCAATAAGTAAGATAAAAGGACACCCCGCTCATTAACAGCACTTAGTATGTAGCACGCTGCTCGGAAATGATTCTCAGCTCAGTGGTTCCGTTATTTTCTGGCATGAATATTTGTTGCCCAGCCATCTGTTGCCCGAAATTCTAATAAAGTTTCTGCCCCGCCATTCACGGTGCCGGATTGTCTAATAAGCGCCAAGTCCAAACGGTTGGCGCCCTTCAGCCTAACACCTGACCTTCAGGATATAAATCCCTTGTGGAAAAAAGTGTAATGCTCTTATCAGGATTCATTGTTGCACCTCCATCTGCCCAAGCGCGTGTGCAACGGAAGCATGTGCCGAAAGCCGGCGTAACCACAAATGTGCCCTGTGTTGTCAGCCTCCTGCCTTGAGGTAAAAAAGCTTGACCCTGGAAAGCCCCTCCTATTGGTGAGAACAAAGGCCAGCCCTGTTACCGGTGTCCCCACTTGTTCCCAGAACGCTCGGGTCCCCAGAAGCTGATTGCCATTCGTCCAGTATTGACTTTTTTACTGCCCGCTCGTTTCAGGATGGTTTGAATCAATGAAACTGTCTCAGTTGGAAGTACCGTCCTCTTCAGGGAAAGATAGATGTATCGATTGCCACCTTTCACAAGAATTAACACCCAGGGAAATCTATAAATACAGCTGATCTCATGCAGAAAAAATTCCTGTATTAAAAGGAATCATCTTACTGTAGTGTGTTATTAGCATAGAGCTAGAGCACAGAACACTTTCTAAATGGCAGCCCTTATTGTGGATTAAATGTATCTTCTGCAGTCTAAACCATACAAATTTCCTGGAAATGTGATCACCTGTTAGACCCCACACTGAAATCACAGTGGTGTATCAGTGAGATATTCAATTGAGCTGGTTTCTTTCTCTGTCTGAGGGGCTTACACCGTTCGCTTTGAATAACATCTCAAAATATGCATAATAAGTTATTTCCTAATGAGGATTTGGCGGTGCAGAGCTGGAGACATGCTTTCAGAGCTGCAGACTGTGAAATCTGTGGACAATGGAGCCTCTTAACTTTGTTTAAACCGAAATTCTGCAAGATACAAACAGTGTAAGGGAGGATCTGCTCAGACTCTCCATCCCCTTTCTGGACAAACAAAGGAGCATTAGTCGGAACCGTTAGCAGAATTTCATGCTCCCAGTTGGAGGTCAGAAAATAGGAGAGAAATTTGAAATGTATTCGGCGACACACAGACTGGAGTGCCAGGTTTGATGTGTCTGGAATTGTTCAGACTCCATCCTCGAATCCCTGCAGATCTAAGATTTAAACGGGGAGGGGAGGAGCGACCAGGAATTTCTGGCAGTCGGAAGCTCCAGTCTCCTGGAAACCAATCCCATGTTATTGCTAGAATTTCCCAGGTATGGGACAGGTCTGGAGCTAATTCCCCACTTTTCACAGCCTACTGCGTTCTGTATTTTAACAAGGTCAGGAGCGCCATTATCTCCACAGTCACTGGCAGGAGCCCATTAGAGTTTGGAGCGCTGTGGAAGAGATATCCTGCTATATTAGTTATTCCTACGTAAACATGGCAGGAAGGCAGGCAGACTGCAGGGATTTGGCAAGTTATTTTGTACATGCACGGCTTGTGCAGGGGCCCAGCAAGGCTGTAAAGACTCCAGCCTACCCCGAACACACAATAAAGGAACGCAAATGTCGCCCTCTTCTCTTAACCCTCCCCCTCATCTGAGCCCAGCTGCACGGCGATTGGTTAGAACAGAAATTAGCAGGGAGATGGTTAAAGGTGTTTCAGCTTTATAGACTGCAAAGTTCCGCCACACACATCTCTATGAGCAGTGTGATTGTCGTTTTTATCCCCCTCTGCCTGGATCCCGGATGAAGCAGGAATTAAGCCTGCGGGTAGCTTTTAACAGTTATTACTGTGGGTACCTCGCCTGATAAATCCTGAGATGCCAGGATAATAAGCAACTCATCTTGTTGTGGATTACTGAGTGTCTATCCTCATATATGACTGTAATTACGTAGACTGATAATGTAGTTACCTTACGTGTAGAAGGAAAATGAAGACAGTAAAATCTGTATGTTTTTCAAGAGCTGAATCTCTGCTAGGTACCGCAAGATGGTTAAAACCTACCCCTACGAAATTTCAAACATTTTACTGTAAGATTTGCAAGCATTTTATGTTGCTGTTATGAGTGCTTTGTCACAGAACAAGTAATGAGATATATGCAAACTGTGCTGCCTGGGTAGCCAGTATATTGCTCTGTTGCAGTTTCAAGAAATAAATGCAAAGTTGATGATGATGGATAACTTATAGTCGGGTACTATTTTTGGCTTGATACATTTGCAAGAACAGTTCAAATGACAATGTAAAATGGTGGTTGAATTTCATGTGTCTTCAGAAAGTCTGATATGAGACGTTAATGATATAGATTTCATGTTGGTAATAAGGATTTTTGCGTAAGAATGGAAATACTGGTTACTACTGCTACTATGGCATTTCATATTCATATCATGAACCTGTCATATAAAGACACCTATCTGGCATTATATGTCTTTTATGCTTTTATTCAGCCACAGCGTACAATAAGTCAAGTTCATAGCTATATTTCCATCCACCAGAGAGTGTCTAGAATTTTAAGAAATGGAGACAAAACTTGGCTGAAGATAGGGCTTTATTTCTGTATTTCCAGGCTATCCCTGGAGACTGTATTTTTAAGTGCCGTTATCACTGGAGGATGGCATCGTTCTGCTCTCCTGCCCTCGTGATGGATACGTTGTCAGGGTGCAATGGTGGGAGGAGGGGACCTAACAAATGACCCTGCGAGGATGATATAGTTTTAGCACTGAATTTGTTTAATGGAAAAAGTCAAAGCCAGATAAATTACGTAGCATGGAAGGGGATCAGGAGAATTGGTGCTTGTAGTACACCAGTGTGGCCAAATGATAGATGAGGTCTGTTGGGACGAGACAGTAATATACCTTATTGCTGAAGGAATTGGCTGGTTTACTCTTGACAGGGCGTATTTGTTGTAAACGCAGGCCCTCCTGGTAGAGAGCCACTCTTGCGTTGACTTTTGACATTGAGTGCTAAAATCCCACCAAGCGTGTCCCCCACTCACCGCTAGCCCTTCCAAATAAGGAGCTGCCTGCTCCAGAGAGTGGAGATTTTCCCTGGATGTGGGCTTTTTCAGAGGCCAAGAGTAGGTGATGGTTTTCCTCCCGGAATGGGAGGCATCACACTGTGCCCAGAAGGAAGGTCTATAGACAAGTACGCCTGCTGAAGCTGACAAAGCACAGATGCAGTGACCTTTAGAAGTGGGCACTTCCCCCCAACCGTTTTCAGCACAGACCATTGCTCAAGACTGGCTCCATGGCTGAAGATAATGGATTATTAATGCCAAGCCCCAGATAGGCAAAAGTAATAAAAGGAGATAATAGCCAGTTAGCTCTTTTGGCCATATTTTCGGTAACCTTGAACTTTTGAATAATGTATTAGCACTTCCCATGAATGAACGTTTATCCACTACTGTATACCAGCATGCACTAGGGAGGCAGCCATTTTGAAAATAAGCTTGAATTTTCAGTTATAATTGTATTGCCTGTAGCCATATGACAATCAAGTTCTATTTCGGTGGAAATGCTTGATATTGTTGGATGTATGTTTAAGTTTCCAGTGGTATTGCCTTGGTTCAAGGTTAATTCAGTACCATTTCCTGCTGTGTACTGGATAGGGAGGATGGTTTCCTCCCCCTGCAATATGAAGGCTTTGAAGTCCCACTCTTGTTGGCTCCAACTGGTGCCAGCGTTAATTACCTGTAGCGAAAAAAACTTCCAGTTGGGTAGCTTTCACAGACTGAAGTGTGTTTCGCTGTTTGCACTGCCCTTTCCAAATACCAAAGGAAAACACTGAACAGTAGGCAACATACTCCACTTGAATATGTAATAAGATCCGGAGAGCTGAAAATATATGTCAAGAGTTTGCCCGATGTGGTTCGTGTTTGCTGGTGCTTTTGCCATGGCAGTGACTGCCGTTGGTTGCTATAGCAATGACTGTCGAATTTGGTCTGTCAGCAGCCTTGGAAAAATGTTTCACTTTGGTGTTATAGTTACAGCATGGATGCTTGTCACGGTTTGCAGCTGGAGTTGGGAGCCAGCACTAGTTTTGTCTTTGTGCACTTGATATGCAGAGAGACTGGAACATTAACAATTCGTCAAACGTCTGTCAGTTTTGAGATATCAATTTGGCAGACTCTTGAGGGGAGGAGATTAATTACGAGGTATGGCCCAGATGCCTTCTGCTGCCATTAATAGTACATGTGCTGAGGGAAGATTAACAGGCCGCTAGCCCTTTTCTACTGGCATCGGCGGGGATAAGGTTTCGGAAGAAAGTTTTGTGTAATCGTTACTTGTGATTGTTTGCTGAGAGTTTTACCATCACGGCTGGCAGACTTTTAATAAGTTGGAAACAAAACTTGTTAGTCTTGCCCCTCGTGTGCGGGTTAACGGCTGGAAACACGGCCCTCAGACCCAGACCACTCTAACAGTCGCTGTTGAATAAATAAAACGGCTCTCACCCGACCAAATTTCCTGCATGAATGGTCTCCAGGGTCAGTCAAAATGAATTAAACTTTTATTGTAAAGCTAACAAACCTGGTGAACACAAACACCCCGCTTCCTGCCTTCCAAACAACAGAGGCAAACTGACAGATAGCAGTCATCGACACAGGTGCTTCGACAGGTATGCAAGTAGCCAGTTTACCTGTACCGCACCAAAGATAAGGGAATAGAAAAGAATCCTGGTAGGCCATGTTTGAAATAGCATCCTGAAGTGTTGGAATAAAAGAGCCACTGTCTGGTTGCCTGGGTGTTAAGATCGGGCAGATGGGAAAAGTCAGCGCGAGACAGAGAAGGCCCCAGTCTTGTGTATTTGTTTTGGATGGTGAATAAAGGTAGAGAAGGTCGGAGGGACATTTGTGTTTATATGAGAGAAGTCACATGTTTGCATGGGAGAATAATGGCACCATGTGCCCTTCTCTACATGATGAAACGAAGTTCAAGAGTTTTGGAATCACAGTCCTGTTTCTGGGTTACCGGGTCATGGCGATCTGTGGTGCAGAACATATGGAACCCCAGGACTTTGGTACATGCCTCCTGCCCATTTAAATCATGTGGATCGTAACTGTTGACAGGTCTCCAAACAGTTCCTCAACTACTGGGTCTTGTTTATCATCATACACAACAAATCAAACTGTAAAGACCTGAATTGGACTGCATTTCCGGGAGTGATAAAAGTCAAGTACATCATGCATAACACCAACATTGGGGAGCAGTAGACCTCAATAGATATAGTAAGAAATTTGTATTGATTACCTGGAAAAGTTTAGTACTAAGAACAAACCCGAAACCATACTGTGCTAAACCTACATTTTTCTTTCTTGGTTCTTGATTAGTCATTTAATACAAACCCTGCCGTCTTGGGTTGTACTAGCCCCTCCCTGCATATTTCGGTTGGTTGTTTGGGCAGCCGTCCATAAAGTGATTTAATCAGGCTAGTTCTGGGACATATTGGAAATTACAGTATTGTGGTATTCTTGACTTACTCTTATACTGTTTAGCCAAATGAAGCTCAAGTTTGTTCTCTCTGTTGTTGCTGTGCAGGTTTCAGTGTCGGACAATGGCAGCCCTCCCCAGGTCTCGACGGCACACGTGGTTGTTTCGGTCGCGGATGTCAACGACAACAGTCCAGACTTTGGGACCAACACCATCCGGATCCGGGTTCCGGAGCGTAACCGCACCAACGAGAAGGGCGACATCTACCGGGTGGTTGCCAGCGACGATGATGTCGGTTCCAACGGCGACCTTGCCTACAGTTTCAAGGGCGGAAACGATAAGGGGAGGTTTTTCATTGATCCAACCAATGGGATGATTTCGACAAGGAAGGCGTTGATGGAAGGGCAACAGTACACCCTAAAGGTAGGCTATTTTTACTACCAGTTTTAAAGGCACCTGATGCAATTTTTCTGGTCATTCTTGTAATGTTGTAAGTCTAAGGCAAAAGTCTGTAAGGCAAATATGTTTTGTACTGTAGGCAAGTTCTATCTATTTATTGTACCCAAAAATAAAGAGATGTCTCACAAAGCTTGGTTTTTGGGGAGTTTCGAATGCTTCAACTATTAAATGATGACGAAAATGTGCCAAGAAGCAGCAGTTATAATATCCTCACTCCTTAAAGAGATTCACTCCTCATTCAGAATATTTTATTTTGCCGTGCTGAAATTTTATAGGTCCTAGCCTCTAGCTTGGCCTTTTGGATTGGAGATAAACAGAAAGAGCAAAGGTTATGCTAATGAGGCAATCTCCACTCACCTTTCCAGATCCAAGCCACGGATCATGGGCGTCCCCAGCGGAAGTCAAAGGTCAACGTTGTGATCGACGTTGTCAAACCGCCGGTAACGTCCATCGGTCCCAAGCTGAAGAGCCCAGAACCCGAGTTCAACTACAAGATGATCCAGGAGGACTGGCCGGTGAAGGACTGGATCACAGTAGTGGAGGCTGAGGACCCTGACTCTCCAGAACTGTGGTACAACATCATTGGTAAGGCCTGAAATATCTCCTAATTTCCAGACTGGCTACAAATATTCACAAGCAGTGTTTACTAGGTTCAGGGATTAACTGTTCTTAACTGACGATTACTTTTGACAACTGAACTTTCACTTTGAACAGGTTCATTTTCTTGGAACGAAAATTAATCTTCTGTAATTGTTTTGGGGGGCTTATTGAGCTAATGATTAGTTTGACCCTCATCAGTCATTTTTAGACACCTCGGTGTGGCTTGCAGCAATGCCAATTTATCATATGGTCTTCCCACTCATCCCAGGTGGAAATGTTGGAGAAAAGTTCACCATTGGTAATGACGGCATCCTGAAGCTGGCCAAGAAGCTGGACTGGGAAGAGCGCAACAAGTACAACCTCACCGTGGAGGTCACTGATGGACACAAGTCTGCTACTAAACAGGTGCGTATTTGTTGACAACTCTTTCCAGGTGACCGCACCTGTCCTAATGTCTCATTAATCACCTGTCTTGGCATTATTCACCAGTCGGAAGCCAGTCTGAAAAGAACAATTTTCCTCAGTCCTGCAGACTCATGTCAAGGATGGCTTGCAGTTTTACACTTAACGTTTTATTTGTTCCTGCTATTCCCTGTTCGATTCACCAGGCTAATGGTGTATTAGGTTCCAATCAGACAGGAGATCCCAGTATCAGGCTGCCTTTATGATTTGTCCCACTCACTCAGATGTGATGTGAAGACGTATGGCCAATAGCCAGCTCCACTGACAGCCCTGCTGCTTGAAAACGTAATTAAGAAAATTCCCCGTCAGGACGATTAGTCTGACCTTTTTCCCTTCTCCAGTACTGATGCGTCTCTTTATAATCCGTCTCCGTTCCCTTCCTTCCCTCCCCCCCTCTCTCGGTCTGTAATAAATTACCAGCCGGCTTGAGTGCGCCTCAGTAAAGGTTATTTTTAAGGACTGCAAACTTTTCCTAAGGCTTCCTCCCGGCATTGGGTGCATTCTTGTGGAAATAACTCACAGCTGTCAATCCCACTTGTGCCCGGAAATCCCCCCACCCCCTCCCCTCTCCCATCCAGAGGTCTAAATACGGCAGTTCTGTGGTCGGTATCTTGCTCGCGAGACATGCTAGCCAGCAGGCTTTATCATTAGTTTAAAGTAGATTGATAGTGAGTGCAGCTATATTTGGTTACTACCAGAAGCCTTGAAGCGTCAAGTTTAAGACCTGTGTCATGTATAATTAGTGCATTCCTGTTGATAGGCCCACACATCTGCCAAAACAGGGACCACCTCCGGAGGGTCATGACGTCCAAATGTCATGTTTTCCTGCACATACTACGCAATCACATGGCTTCCTTTCAGACTCGGGTGGGGTTTCTTTCAAAGGGCAAAATGTTATAAACCTGACATTTCAACGTCTTGAGTTTTCCATCGGTAACAAGACTGGAAGAGGTAATTTTGTGTGTTTCCATAGAATCCTCTTAGCTTGCAGCCCCCACAAAAACATACTTTTGCCATTGCTGTTTGTCAGATGTTCCCAGACAATTGTTGCTTCCCTGCAACCCTCCCCCGCCATGTAATGTGAAAGGTTGGGGCATTGTGAAGAGATCTGAATGAGGGTAGATGCCATCAGCTCAATCAGTATTTATTCAATTGAGTGGCATGTTGTGGCCATACTGTCCACTTAATCAAATCAATTTGGACGGGGGACTGCTGAAAGGCTGGAGTATTCCTGAAGGCTTTCCTTCATGTGATATCAGTGTAAGTGAATTTGGGGTTGAATTCAATTTGGTCAATTGACTCCAGGAGGTAATTGAGTTTTGCCAAATGAAATTATTGGAAATGTTTTTTATCCTAGAAGAAGGGGTGGCTCTCCTGCGGTTTTAGGGCAAGCACAAGGCAATTTTTGTTGTGGCCTTGGATGAAAGAGAGCTCACAGATAGCATACAGGTTACCTGAGGCTGCTAACCCCACTCAAGGTTTCCACTAAAAGGTGCATACAATGCAATCAGTGAAAGCAAATACTGTTACATCCTTACGATTGGAAAAATTAGTCTGATTGTATTCCTGTTCCCTATCAAATGTCACAAAAATTGCCCAGTCTTCCTGTGGTAATGTAATTGAACAGAATCCTAGTCTGTCTGGCACCATCATGTATTCTCGTCTTATGTTTCCATAATAAACTGTTGCACGTCAATCATGATTCCTACTAGGACCTGATTTCTTATGCAAAGTCAAACTGTCACCAAATGTCTTACCTCTCTTTACCATAAGCCTCTGCAGAATTGGTTTGAGAGATCACCAAAGCAGGGAGAAGCTTAAAATTTTTTTATAATCATTGGGTGGGCCGGCTACTCTCTCCTTGCAGCCAAGGGCTGAATTGCGAGCAGCTTACAATTGGTGGGGCTGGATCTGGAGCGGCTGCCATTCGGCACTGACTGAGATGACCTTAATACGACTCTAGGTGCAGCCATAAAACTGTTAGGTTTGAATTTTCCACACTATAACCTGTTCTCTACATTGTCTCCCTTTCTAGATTCTTCTCTCTGTGATAGACCTGAACGACAACCGACCACAGTTTGCACAGAAGAAGTACGAGGTGGAGATCCCGGAAGAGGCGCCCATCGACACTCTGGTTACCAGGGTAACCGCATCCGACGTCGACGAGAACAGCCGCCTCTTCTACTCCATCGACTCCAGCACCGACCCTGTCAGCATGCAGAAGTTCCGCATCAACCCTCGCACAGGTAGGGAGGAACAGCTATGTGAGACCTTAAAACTGTTTAGTTTTGGCATGTAACAGTCTTTGTCATCACTAAATTCAGGCATAGTTATTAGAGAAACATTTTCAGCATTCTGGCCTTTTTCCCCTCCAGGTGAAATCTACACAGCTTCTCCTTTGGACCATGAGACCAAGGACCAGCACATTCTAACCATCATGGCTAAAGATCAGGATGTCTCAGTCATGCGCAACTTTGTCCGCGTCGTCATCAACGTTAAGGACTCCAACGACCACCGCCCGATATTCAGCGCTCAGGAGTACACCGGCGGTGTGTACGAGACTGCCGCGTACGGCACATCTGTGGTGCAAGTGGTGGCGACCGACCGAGACAGGGGCGCCAACTCCGAGCTGACGTACACCATAGAAACAGGTATGGTTCTCAAACAGTTTAGTAAACATCACAGAACGGAAGGACCGGCGAGTGCTCTGCTTGAAATGGGCCTCCCACGTCATTTGTAGATTGATGCTACTGTTTGTGGAATGTGTGTGCGGTGGCTACACCACATTCTTGACCAGGACTTGTGATGTAGCGGCAACAGCACTGTGGATACAGGTGTGTAGCCGCAACGGAAAGTGGGCTGCCACCATCGAAATAAAAAATCCACATAGGTGTTACAGTTTGGCTTTGCCTAAAAGGCAAAACACATTTGGAAAATACTTTATCAGCATCAAAAAGCCATTGAAGCAGCAGGCTTGAAGAAAAAGCACCCCTCATGGCAACCTTTCCAGCCTTTATTTGATTCTGAAGCACCAAAGTAAATGATGTGCTAAAGGCCTTCCGTTCCAAATGGCGATGACATAAGACAAGCCCTCCTTCCTCAAGCATTAAGAAATAGGGAGAAGCTTACGAGTTGATATTCTTGGAGGAGCCGTGCTATCGTGTCTTACCCAGGTGGAGATGCAGTAAGTTTTAATGGCTGGAAGTGCTGGGAGGTTGGCTTATGTATTCCCATTCAAGATGCCTGGAAGGGACTGACAAGATGCTTTATGTTGCCCGTTCTGACCCCATTCTCAGCTTCCCCTGCCTCTGTATCAGTAACTGTCAATAAGAGCTGCACACGTTTTAAAACCGTAAATCCCACACTTGCCTCAAATGCCTTTTTCTGCTCCATTCTTGTGATGGTGGGCTGTTTTTGGAGATGGGTACGGATTAGGAAAGAGGAGGCAGAACCGATTTTTCTGTCGTTAAGTATTGCAATCCACAGGCAGCGGAAATGGTACACAGTTTATCTCACAGGTGACTAATGGTTTCTTTCATTCATGTCTCAGGAAGGTTAATGAGATTTTAATAAGAGTCCTTCGCTGCTCTACAGGAGTGATCACCATTTTTACCAAACAGAAGATTAGGTTTCCCCTTTCAAGGAATTTATGGTGGGAAAAAGTTAGGGAGCTTCCTCTTCCCTTTGATAGTTAGAAGAAGATGTGTAGTGAGACTAATTCTTTGGTCACTCAAACTCTTTTCAAGGTCTTTTAAAACAGGGGTTGCCCCTTCACATCTGGAGTGCATTGGTCCATATCTGGCCTGGGGTGCTGGCCTACATCAATAAAAGGCCAGTATTGTGTGAGATTTAGGTTTGTATACCTTTTCTTCAGGTGAAAAAACAAGGGTAGCAGTCACCGAAGCAATAGATAACAAATACAAGTTGAGGATGTGGAAGAAGATAATGCATGGGACTGTTTTGTAAACTGAAGTGACTGATATTACGCAGGAAAAAAATTTACGGTGGAAGGAGTATTGTGTTGTTTAACATGATGTGCTAATTGGATATGACATTTCTAGTCCAATGTGTGGTTAAACCTTGTCCCATGGGATGTTGAAAATACTCAGTTTGGCAGCTAAGGAAAATGTTAACTAGCCTTACCAGTCTTTATCAAGGAAGTACAGCTTGCTTTCCCCCAAAGATACAGATCTGTTTATTTTCAGAGTAATTGCATACATGGAGTTTAGACTTCTGTTTTGGTTCCTTAGGGACAAACAAAGAAAAAATCCTGCCAAAATCCACCGTTCAAAGCTACCGCTGCCTTTCTACCTTCATGTCACTCAGCTAAGAAAAGATTTTGTTAAATTTAAAGGATTAAAGAAACGTTTCTTTACATAACGTCTGCTGGAAGTGGAAAGAGTTAGAACCACAGAGATAGTCCCATATATAGAACAGAGAGAAGAAAGAATAAAAACACACCTGTGCTTCTAGTAGTGCAATCATGCATCAGAGGATGTTTACACAGTGGATTGGTAAAAAGACACCTTTTGTTCAGTGAAGATTAGTGGAATTGTTTCCAAATATTGACTCTAAGAAGTAGAGACAATATCTTCAGGCAAAAATGTAACCATTGCTTGAGCTTCTGACTACAGGATCCAAGAGTATATATGCATATCTATTACAGATATAGTCCTTTTGGCAGACGGCCATGCACCACTGGTCTTGTCATCTTGCAGTTTTCATCAGTTGCAGTGGAGATATCATTAGAGGAATAGGGAATCCTTCACAACTGTTCATAATGTCTACCTTGTGATAATGTATGACTGTTATTCAGCAGAGCCCAGTGGTTACCAGACATTGAGTCTTTATGTAGGAGTTATGGCGTTTTATGTAGAATGCTAGCACACACTTATCTATGTAGTTCAGAGATCGGTTGGAATATGTCACCCAGATTAAGGTTGATGTGGCATGTGCTTTCCAGTCCACGTCCTTTGCGGAATTCAGGTACCCCACATCCCTAGGCAATGTGTATCTCTTGATCCGCAGCTGAATTTGTAGTCAGTGCCTTACTGTGTCGGTCTCCCCACTTTCCACCTGTCTTAGACGCAGGCGTTTGTGACTCTATACAGGTGTAAGACATTATCCTGGCGCCAGTGTGTTTGAGCCCTCCTTTGGGGGATGTAGTTTGGTAGCTTAACATAAACACGGGGATGAAGGAAAGGAATACTGAGCATATATTACTGTACCACCTCGCTCTGCTGTACTGAGGTCTTGACCCTTTTTTTATCAGTTTAATCAACCAACAGCTTTATGGACTTGGATGATTTGTGTTATCCCTTTAAATATACCAACACAGTTCTTGGTTTGGTGCCATGCTTCGTGCTTAGTGGTCAGAAGTTTCCATCCACTATTCAAAGTTGACGTGAAAGCGAAGTATTCCAGTCACAGTATTATTAGTATTCCCGCAGTTCGTCAGTTCAGATGGTTGCAGATGAGACATGTAAGCCATCTCGGAACAAATGTTTGGCCATAAAGTCTGCTATTAAAGTCGGCCGAGATGACGTTGATAAAGAGGTTCCATTATGCCTTCTCCCGGCCATATTGCTCCAAGATTATGGGGCTGAAACGTCTTACATTCAGAAGGAACCCCCCTGGTAAATAATGATCTTGGAGCCACATTTCCTAGACCCGCCGTCTGATTATAGTCGCTGCCCCCAGGCATGCAGCATGGATTTTGTTGCAATATTTGGGAGAAAGTAGACCCATTTATCAGCAGAATCATAATAGATATTCCCAGTCAATATTTCAGTGGTGACATGGAAATAAGAAAAGCCATAAAGTGCTTCCATTCCAACGAGATAGAAGTGCGCTTTTGGCTTTGAACCAGAGAAGCCAGGTAATTTGTTGGATGTCATCCCGTAAAATGCAGAGGAAGAATACTTTAAGCTGGTATGAATCTTGCTTTTGTTGTTATGAGGTGTTACAGGACGGGTTATTGCTTGAAGAAGTTCAAACATTTAAAGGTTGTCCTGCAGGGCTCATCCATCTCAAGGCAGACGATGTAATTTGATCCAGCCACAAGCACTGTAAAACCATCTCCATCATGTGTGTACAAACTCTCCCCAGATAATGCACTCATTGATAGATCACCGCCGAACAGACCTTAAAGTTTCTTCCCAAATCATTGCGTGGATTTTGTTGTTGGCGGTCTGTAGATCCCGTCTTTTACTGATGTTATCCTCCGCGGGTTTTCCTAATGCATCCCTGTGCCGAAATTCCATTTAGGTCCAGAAAGGGAGTCATCCTTCATGTGTGGGGGGAGGCAGGGGTGACTCTGCTCGCATATCCCCAGTCTGCATTCAAGTCATCACCATCTGTCTTCCTTACCAGATACATATGCTGTTATTTTGTCCAATACTGTGGCTAGAGTTTTATCTCCCTTTCGCTGATATGTGTCATTATTGGAGCATTAGACCAAATTTTTGCTAGATTTTGGGTCTATGATGAGTCGGATTTTCTCTTGCAGTGTGCCCTGTTGTATTTACATTGTAATGGATATGCATCGTTTCAAGGCACCGCTCATAAAAGTGTGTAATGAAAAAAAATCGCCTGTTTTACGAGGTCTTACCGACATTGATGTTGATCACCAATAATGTATGCTCTCATTGGCATTGTAAAAACAGTACTTGGGAGGCCCTGTAGCTCTTGAATGATAAGCCGGGGTACAGTATGCAAACCTTTTACAAATTGGCATCTTTATTTCATAGAACAGAAGCAAGATGGTTTAGTCGTTCTCTTTTTGGAATATTACCATCTTGTACATCTATGTTTAGAAATGAATATATCAATTAGACAGTAAAGATTTTTATTGCACCTGCTCCTCCAAGCATGTTTTCTATATGAATGGTTTTATGAATACCTACATCTTTGCCAAGCACACTATTGTCCCTGATCAACTTCTGCATTAGCCCCAAGGTCTACACAGCATTAATTTGTCTCCAATGATGAGATTTTGTACAGCATCATCAGTCAAAACCAGCATATTTACTATCCCTGTTCTTCTGAGGCTTACTGAGTTTCATTAGATCACTGTGGGGGGTAAGAAATATGATAATGGCTGTACACTGTGGGAGGTGAAAAATATAATAATGGTAGGCAAGAAGCAGAAGTGATTTCAGTATTGATATTATTATCACCCCAGCAATCATGTTGTGATGTGTAATTTCAGCCTTAGGACTAGGAGATTGCAAAAACGTGCTCAAGTGGCAAATGCAAAATTCTTACGATATGTTTTTTATTCTTATTCCCTTTTCCTGCAGGTAATGTTGGTAATGTGTTTAGCATCGATGAGACGTTAGGGATCATCACGGTCTCCAAGCAGCTGGACCGCAGCGCCCTGAGTCAGTACCACTTGACGGTGAAGGTCCGAGACAATGGCAACCCCCCGCTGAGCTCCACCGTACCCATCCACATTGGCGTCACCATCTCCAACAACGCTCCGCCCAAGTTCGACGCCAAGGAGTACGCCATCGAGGTCAGCGAGAACGCACGGCTCGGATCCCTCATCGTCATGCTCGGTGCGACCAGCCGCTCCTCCGTTACCTACGAGATCATCAGCGGCAACACGGACGGCAGCTTCGACGTGAATCCCAACTCCGGAGTCATCACCTGCAAGAAGCAACTGGACTACGAGAGACAGACGTCGTACAACCTGACAGTCCAGGCCACCAACATGGTCAGTCTGAGTTCAACGGCTACAGTCCTGGTTCACATCGCAGACGAGAACGACAACCCTCCTGTCTTCTCCCAGTCTGAGTACATCGGCAGCATCAGCGAGGCAGCCACCATTGGTAGTGTCGTTCTCGACGTGAACAACATTCCTCTGGTCATCGCCGCAACAGATGCAGACAACGAACTTAACTCCCTTCTTGTGTATGAAATCATTGAGTCTGCGGCTCAGAAATACTTCGCCATCGACTCTAACACTGGTGCTCTGCGCACTATCCGTACACTGGACCATGAAGACATTGCTGAGTTCAGGTTCACTGTGCAGGTCTCTGATACAGGAAACCCACCACTGAAAGCCGAAAATCCTGCAAATGTCACCATCAAGGTCTTGGATGTGAACGACTCTCCGCCCACGTGTACACAAGATATCTATGAAGCCACCCTCTTGCTCCCAACTTACAAAGACGTGGCCATCGTACAGGTCGAGGCAGAAGATGCAGACACTGAAGCAAACACACAGCTCACCTATGTCCTAACCATGGGCAATGAAGACAAGAAATTCAGCATCAACAGAGACACCGGTGTGATAACCATTGTCAACACCACTGGGCTGTATGACCGGTACGAGCTGTCAGTACGTGTTGGAGACGGAAAGTTCCACACTTCATGTATCATCAGGATAGAAGTGAAGAGAACTGTCATGAGCGGTCTGCGGTTCACAGAAGAGTCATACTTCTCCGAGGTGACAGAAAACTCCACAGAGGTGAAAACCGTTGCCATAGTGACTGCCATCGGAAACCTGCTGAACGAACCACTGGAATACAAGATCCTCAACCCCAACAACATGTTCGAAGTCAGCCCCACGTCTGGGGTGCTGCGGACCCGGGGAATTCCCTTCGACAGGGAGGAGAAGGAGAAGTACGAAATTGTCATCGAAGTGCGGGACAAGAGGTCGACCCCCAGAGTGGCGCATGTGGTGGTGTATGTGACCATAGCAGACATCAACGACAACGCTCCTGTCTTTGTCAACCTGCCGTACTACTCTGTGGTGCAGGTGGACGCCGAGCCAGGAACACCAGTCAGAACTGTAAGTGTGGCTTCTGTACAGCATGACACAGACACCTTCTATTCTACACAGTTTATATTGCTAGTATACGTTGCATGTATCAGTAGCCAAAAAAAATGTTGCTCTCAATGCACTGTTTTAGTTAGTAGTTCATGGGTTATAACAATACTACTTCTTTATCTTCTGCAATACCAGGTGACTGCAGTGGACAAGGATGAAGGGAAGAACTCTGAGATCAGGTACTCCCTGGACTCCGGGGCACACCGACGTTTCCGTATCAACAGGAAGACGGGACAGATCATGGTGAAACAACCGCTGGAGGCAGAGGACACCAACAAGGAGTACCGTCTGCTCATCATCGCTGAGGACAAAGGTCAGTAGATTTTATTTCACAAATTCATTGTGTCCCGTTAACAAAAAGAACAGATTTTTACTGCTGCAGCATGATTAAGTGTGCAACAGGATGGTTACCATAATATCCCACGTATCCACCAATGTAAAAAAGTCAAAGGGCTTCTAAGCCATGTTTTGTCTTGGTTAACTTTGCTGTTCAAAACAGCTTGGTATTCATGGTGTCATCGGTAAGGTTACAATACGTATTCAGCAGCATGCGCTGACTGTGGCCGACATTGAAGTGTCGGTGGCAGAACCAAGCAAAGATGTCCTGATATTAGGACTAGCTTAACCCTACTGTAGGCCCTCATCCATCAAAGGCACAGGTGTTTTCACAGGTGAGATAACCAAGGACAAACTTCAGGAGGCATCACATCCATCCATTCATGTACATTAGACTGTGGAAGGGTTTACCTAAGCCCCGAAAAATAGAGACAACGTGGCTTACCCTCCTGACATTTAATACAATGTCTTCTAGACTTCTACGGTCTAAATTCATGGAAAAGTTTCATGTATTCAATGCAAATCCCTTCCTTGGAGTATTTGTAAAATAACAGCATTTAGATGAGGGATTGTGCTTTTTTGCTTCAAGGTAAGACACATCTAACTTGCTGACATACAATGTTGAAACCATAGCCAAATGTACTTTAATTTGGGCACGCTTTTAAATGTTACTGGCACCTTTTGGCTTGACACCTAAGTGGCACCAAGCTACCTGGCATCCATCATTGTGTCAGAGTGTTTGTAAAGCGCCCATGTCCAATCCCATACCTGTTTGGCAAGGACTTCCCTCCCATTTCACCATGGCCTTGCACGGTGGTCTGCACACTGTCCCTAGAAGTTTACTCTGTTGTCCACACAGCTGATGACAGTTCAGGAGAAATCTCCAGTCCAAAAGTTTTCTGTCCTTGGAGGGAATTTGTGGCTTATTTGCTTTCTTTCCGGATTGGAGAACTGCCAAGTTAAAGGCCACACTCCAACACACAGAAGTGTTTTCTTGTTTTATACAAAAGCCTTGACGAATATTGTCTGGTCCTTGCTTTTTACATGAGGGCTATTCTTTTGTATGTGTCTGAGGAAATGCAAGAAAGGTTTTTCAAAACGAAACTTCTAATCGATCAAGAACAATTTGGTAGATGGAGAGACAGTAATTCAAACAAAAGTGGGGCAAAGACATTTTTCACTGTCTTTTCAGTGTATGAACGAATGTAAATTTTAATCCCCTTAGACATTAATTTTCCACAAATGAAATTGACTGCACCCTTTGCTACCTTTCCATACAGAGAGAGCTGTGTTATTCTTTGTGAATTGTATTATGACACGTAGCTCACAGTATCTTAGACAAATCTGGAGTGTCAAGGAGAAACATGATACCTTGAGTAACTGTGTTTAAAAGTGTGAGGTGATCTAGGGTGAGGCCAGGAGAGATCGCCAAGTCAAAAGGTTCACGATCCCCCATCCATCTACATGGCTCCAAGAATCAATATTTAGAAAAAAGGACGGCATATTTTAATCCCAGTATTTAAACCTTTGACCCACCGCAGGCTTTGTAGGCTAGTCAGTCGGGGAACACTTTGGGAAAATTTAATCACAGGGGCAGACTGTACGCTGTTGGATCAATACAACATCAAGCTGTCAATGGTGGGCATTGTATTTGCAAGACAGGGTCAACAGCAGTGTAAAAATTTACAGCCCCAGGCTTAGCTGTAAAAGGGAAGGAACCATTGGTGTTCCATAAGGTGCTGAGGCATGCAGTTCTGCCGTTATAAACAACCCAAGCTGGGCAGGCTGGTTGGAATAAAAATTGCTTTCTTTTTCCCGGGCCTCACCTGTTGTTTGGCACCCAGGGTGATGAGACATCCAGGTAGACTTGGGACTAGGTCTGTCCACACTACCCGCAAATTAGCCCCCTTCGCTAACAAGATAACAAATGGAAAGCACCTGCACGTGTTTCGGATCTCCACAGGTTGCTAACTCCTGTAGACAGTGTCTGCAGCTCTAGAGGCATCAGCAGTTTCATCAATCACAGGCTCTGGAAAATGGAGCTGGAAGGAATATGTGAATGTACAAGATCCAACAGGCTAGCACACTACGGTAGTGTGTAGTTCAGCATACATATATGATCTATCCCTTCACTGTTTGCATAGAAAATTCTGGAAATGCTACCTTGAAGGAAACATGGTATGCCTGTCAGAAGGCTGAGGTATGTAAATGTTTTTAGCAATTAAAGATTTTATTGAACCTAGAGCTGTTGGCAGCATCTGCCGTCTCTCTTGCTTCGATCGTTTAAAAACGATCCGCGGTGAGAGCCAGGATGAATCTAACAGTTCACCAAAAGTGGCAGCCTCTGTCTCACCTGGTTACAACAAGTGTTGTTTAAACCACTCTCAAGTCAGCTCTCTAGCTCTACGCACATCCCTATCAATTGGCAATGGCAGACTGATTAACCAACGTCCTTTTACAATTACAATATTGAGCAAGTCCCTAGATGGCATCCTGTAAAGAGCGAGTAGGTTAAGCCGTCCTCTCTCGATGTGCAGAGTGATCTTATCATGTCTTTGACGCAGCCAAAATTAAAATCATTAGAAATGTGTCCAGATGCCACCAGTCCAAAATGCATCACCAACATCTGCCAAAATTAGGTCCATAGATCGTGTGGGACACCTGCCCTGAGCGAACGTAGAAGTCCCGCGCTATAGATATGGACGTCGTGAATCGAATTACAATATTCATAAGTGGCCTTTACACAAATGTATCACAGGACCTGCCACGACGTGTTTCTTGGGTTACAGGCGGACACAGTGCTTTGATGATACGCCTCTTGGGAGATGTGTGATGATGAGCCGTAACATTCGGCCATAGTTGTACCAATGAACACGACTTTTCAGTCTCGAATCATCACCTGCCCTTGATTACCAACTTAAATGTCACCCGCAAAGGGCCAATAAGGACCAAAAGCAATTGAAAACCCAAAAATTGGCATTTTGTGCAGAATGCGGAAAGACAAAATGTGTTTGTGCATGGTATTTTCCCCTCTGTGGTGTTTGAAATTGTTCGGGTCAATTGACGGCTGTTTTATGGTGCAGAAAGTTTCAAGTGTGTTTTCTGGTATTGGGGCCTACAAACAGGGTATTAGCAGTGGACACATTTTCCCACAACATTCTGTCTGGGTGGTACCTCTGTAAGTAACCATTGCTTTCCACTGCATCTGCGGCTAGCTAATACACATCCTTTGATACAATAATAACATGCAATTCACCTTGGATGGGAACAGTGACAATTTGTCAGTTTCTGCAGCCCCCCACTTAACATACCAGCGTTCACCACACTCGTGTCCTCCTTTCCATGCCACTTGTTTTTCTGCAAAGCGGAGATCTGTACATAGATCTGGTGCAGCATGGTTGCAAACATCCTTTGATCAATTTATGGCTTTTCCTGCGCGGAGCTTAAAGCCCCATCGTACCGAACCACTGCCTCTTAAGCCTCCCCAGCACTTTGAAGATAACATGCAAAAACCAGCCGTAATCTGCACCACCCACCTGTTAGCCCACCTGGGGCGAAAGCCTATCTCCACAGAACCTTTGCTTCACTGAACCGCTCTTCCTACAGTAATGGCTACACCATCAAGTTGATTTTTGGTGCAGTCGTGACTGATTGCGATGCGTAGATCATTCAGAGTTTTCTAATAACATTTTGTTTAAAGCAGGATTTTTTCATTACCAAGTGTCAGTTGTGAAGGTGATCATATTCGTTACTGATCACAGATCTGTTGGTTGTGATTCTTGTGATTATATATCAGTATATGTCTTCTCATCTTCAACATTCATGATAACACTTAGTAGTATTTTCCACTTTGTTACCAGCCTGTGAAATATAAGTAGCAAATAAACATTATCAGTGGATAGAATTCAACCCCCCTTACCTTCTGAAGAAAAGCAACATTGCATTGATCAATAGGATATTAAATGAGGAAATAATATATGACCAAAGATCTCCTGCTATAATGCTTGTCTTGGAAAAATCTATATTTATGCATCAGTAACTCCACAAAAGTAATGTCTGCAGTTCAGTTAAGAACCATTAAGGGTTTCTTGTAATCTCTGATGGGATATTGTAATGTTCCGCTGTCAGAATGAAAAATATGGACCAATAGAGAACATTACAGAATTCCCTTCAAGTGTCTGCTTGGGGATTATGTTTGATGTACAATGCACATTTCCCAGTTGAAAGTTGTAACTTCTCAAAGGCATCTGAATGGAAAGGTATTTGGAATAAAGTCTTTATGCCCCAGACATGGAAAGATCCGTCAATAACCTCTGCACTTGAGGGTAACATTATAAGCTTTGTTCAATGCGCATCTGTTGCTCCCTTCACTTATCAGGCTTTCAGAAAGCCGGGCATTTGCTAGGTTATGAGGAAAAGCTTTCTGTATCACCTAAGGTCAGTGAAGGAGAAAGTTTAGCCATGATACGCTTGCACCTGATTAGAGGGCCTGTAATGGTCATGGATGCGGAAGGTAGGGATGATAAAAGGCAGTCTTATCTCCATCATTCATGTCTGCAAACTTTTAATGGAAGTAGAGCGGTACTTTGGAAACTTGGGTAAAGTGAAGGCTTCCTAGGAACACTAAAGTCAAGGCCTGATAATGCCTAATAACTGCCCTGAAGTGGGGGTTGTTTCAAGCTTCCATTTATGGTTATCAGAAAGTCTTACTGGTACTCTGCTGATCTGTAATTCTATTTGGTCTTGCTGTGTCCAATAATGATAGCTGTCAATTCTTTATTTCAGTTGGAAAAGCAAACACTAGTAGATCTAACGGTATCAGAGATCCAAAATATGAAATTGCAGATTTAATTTATATGACTCATCACGTTTATGGAAGACATTTGAAGGAGAAAAATCACAATGACAGAGAATTTATTTACCAGTAGCTCTTAAACACTAGAGGTTTATGAATGAAATGTCAAATGAATCACTGGGTAACACTTGAAAGCCTGTTGTGTAACCAAGTTTTCTTGCTGTCTGTACTCAGGCAACCCACCGCTGAGTGCCAGGATCGAAGTGCCTGTGACTGTGATGAACAAAGCCATGCCTGTGTTTGAGAAGCCGTTCTACGCAGTCAGCATCCCCGAGAACGTGCAGCTGCACACCCCTGTCATCAACATCAAGGCGGCCAGCCCTGATGGGCTCAAACTCATCTATTCTATAACCGACGGGGATCCCTTCAATCAATTCAACATCGATTTCGACACTGGTGAGTGCAGGCTTTCATGAGTAATGTACCTGCATTGATCATGCACATCGTTAGCTTTTCCTTCCTTTCAGTTGTTTTCCCACGTTTTGTGTATTGGAGAGATTGATTGTAGCAGTGAAGGTTAAAAGGTTATTTTACTCTCCAAGGTTCTTAAATACAGGTAACGACATAAGCAGATTCACAATTTTGTAAAAATTCTAAATACATCAGTTTGTGCATATTATTTTGCTGATAATATCATGTAGGGAGCTTCCATGTTGTATGATCATTATCCGACATGCATGAAAGTGATAAATACTGAATTATTGGTAGCATTTCTGACACAGCTTTGTTGTGTACTGTGACAGTTATACATATGCAACTTTTTTCTTCATTTCTCTGATGTTCCACCTTAATTTATCTTTTAGGAGTCATAAATGTCGTTGGCTCACTGGACTACGAAACCAAGCAAAACTTCCGCCTTACCGTCCGTGCGACTGACTCACGCAGCGGAGTCGATGCGGAGGTGGTGGTCGACATTACTGTCCAGGATATCAACGATGTCGCTCCCGTCTTCGAAAAGCCGTCCTACGAAGCCACCCTGTCTGAAGCTGCCGCAATCGGCACGACAGTGATCAAAGTCAGTGCCACCGACCTGGACTCTGGTGTGAACCAGCTCATGTATTACCAGATCCTGCAGGATGAAACCAACTCTACAGACTACTTCCACATCGACACCTCCAGCGGGCTGATCCTGACGGCACGTAACCTTGACCACGAGAAGGTTGCTAAGCACGATTTCACCGTACAGGTCTCAGATGGCGGCATGCCTTCACTCAGCAGTGAAGTCCATGTAACCGTCACTGTGCTGGACCTGAACGATAACGCTCCACAGTTTGACCAGCCGTCCTACGACTGCATGATCAGCGAGCTGGCCCCCAGAGGGCACTTTGTCACCAAAGTCTCGGCGTCGGACGCAGACAGCACCGACAACAACCGCCTGGTGTACGCCATCGTGTCCGGGAACGAGCAGATGAACTTTGTCATCGACCAGAAGACGGGCATCATCGCCATGTCCAACCTGAGGAAGCGAGAGCTGGACCCGACGTACACCCTCAACGTCTCTGTGTCGGACGGAGTCTTCACCAGTTCGGCCCGCGTGGCTGTGATGGTTCAGAGTGCCAACACCCACTCCCCCGTCTTCAGCCAGCTGAATTATGCTGTCTCCTTCGATGAAAACAATCCGAGAGGCACGTTTGTAGTCACGGTAACAGCAACAGATGAGGATGCAGGTCCATATGGAGACATCTCCTACTCCATTGCCAGCGAGAAGATCAGCCAGCTCTTTGAGATCGATGCTGATACAGGTAAGCTACTATGCAGATGTTCTTGAAATAAAAAGTCCTTGTCCAGCTTTCACTGTATACATCAGTTTTTATTCGATACCAAGTGTTTCATGATTCTTATTCCTTGTTTTAAAGGTAAAATGTACAGCAGGATGGAGTTAGATCGTGAGGATGAGAATCAGCGCATGATCATCGTCCCTGTGGTGGCCAGTGACCAGGGTGGGCGTGTGTCATTCTGTAACGTCACAGTCACCCTAACGGACAAGAACGACAACACGCCGCAGTTTGAGCTGGCTTCTTACCAAGCCAACATCCCCACAGATGCAGATGAAGGTGCTGAAGTCATCCAGGTAGGAGCTTGTATCATTTTCAGGTGTCTCTTGAAGTAGTAACAAACGCATCATAAACTACTTTCTATTATCTATTTCTTTGCATTTACAAAATTATCTCTTTTTTTTTCATCACAGGTCCATGCCATTGATCAAGATATTGGCACAAACTCTGACATTGCATACTCCCTCTACGATGATTCTGACACCACTGAGGTTGTGAAGTTGTTCAGAGTCCACTCCGAGACAGGCATAATCACTACAAGGCGGAAGCTAACTGGAAAAGGTGAGCACTAAACTAATTTGTTTTGAGATATAATGTACATGTAGTTTTCAAAATTTGGTTTTGCATAGGTTTGTCTGTGTAGAATGAGCTCTTACTGAAGACATTTGCATTTTTGTTGTCACAGAAGGAAAAGCCTTCCAGTTCTTTGTACAAGCCACCGACGGAGGCAACCCAACAATGACATCCAGCGCTCCTGTGGAAATCCTCATCCTCGGCCCAGACGACATCCCTCCCTACTTCGACCCAACAGTTCAGCATCTCTACTTTGTCAGTGAAGAGATGCCAGTTGACAGTGAGGTGGCCACCGTTGTCGCAGACACCAACGATACCGTGAAGTACAGCATTGTAGAAGCCGATGGACCCAATAGTAACAAGGATAACACTTTCAGAATCGATTCAGAGAACGGTGTCATCTATGTGAACAAGGAGCTGGACACGGAGACCACTGCATGGTACTCGTTAAAGGTTCAGGCAGAGACCCTAAGCTCACCTCCACTGTTAGCTTTTGCTGATGTCAGCATTCAGGTCAAAGATGCGAACGATAATAAACCCAAGTTCGATTCCAAGCCCTACAAGATCACTCTCCCAGAGAATGCTTCTGTTGGTACGAGCGTCATTCAAGTTCACGCCTTTGATCCAGACCAGGGAGCTAATGGAGAGATTGTCTACGGTTTTGCATCAGACTCCAATGCAGACGAGATGTCAGACTTCTTCACCATCGACAGTGAGTCTGGATGGGTCACCACGTTGGTTCCCCTCGACCGCGAGTTGATGTCGTCCTACGCTTTCGGCGTCACAGCAACAGACAAGGGCGAGCCCAAGCAGCTGAAGGACACCACCCTGGTACACGTCACAGTCGCAGATGTCAACGACTCACCCCCGACGTTCCGATCATCCACCTACCACGGCCAGGTGCGTGAGGATGCCCTCCCAGGCACCATTGTCATCACGGTCAGCACTCGAGATGCCGACATCGGCGACAACACCATTCCCACCTACTACATCACAGGCGGGGATCCCCAAGGACAGTTCAACATCGAGCGCAAGACTGGGAAGGTCTATGTGAACGGGCCGCTGGATCGGGAGACCAAACAGCTGTACGTGTTGAACATCACAGCCACCGACGGAGCCTTCACAGCGATGGCAACAGTCAACATCGATGTTCAGGATGTCAACGACAACAGCCCCATCTGTGAACAGGTATGGTGTTTACCCAAAGTTACAGCTGAACTGCTGAATTTTTGTTTGGCCTTTTCAGATCATTCGTCAAATTGTATGGCTTTCTGAAACCTCAACACAATGCTTTTATTTTTATAAACACAAAGCCCTCCAACAGACTCAGTCCTGGATACCAGGTTAAGAAGGTACTAAGGGTCGTGTTTGCCTCTTGTTGGCTTCTCCGATCAATTCTTTTATAGCTAGTTCTCATGACTCGTTATTCTAACAGCTGTACCATTTACCCAATCCTCATGCATAGCCAATAAACGTATGGACACTGCCTCAGGTTTGTATGAATGGGATCCTTTGTGATATGACAATCTGTGAAACGTGGTGTCACTGTGGATGGTATGGCTGTGTCCTGGTCTGTTGTTAGTAATGGTAGCATCAACAGCAAAAGATGGATGTCAAGTGTTGACTGATTTGTAGCTAGGTCAATTTGGTTACCTGTAGTCTGTCCAGGGTCTCATTTCTTCAACCTTTGCTCTTCAGTCAAGGTACACAGCCAGTATCTCAGAAGACATCACACCGCAGACGTTTGTGATGGAAGTGCTGGCACGTGATCCAGACCAGGGGATCCACTCACAGATCACATACTCTCTGAATGGTACCGGTGCAGACAAATTCCTCTTGGACAAGGATACAGGTAGGAAACAAAAACTGCAAAGTGTGATACATGCACTTACCTCTTAGCTTCCTTGTGCAAACCACAAGGAGGAAATACAGTGAAAACAGGTTTCAAGCTTGTTTCATATGCCATCTGAATGATAATATGAGCAATCACTGTTTTTTTTACATCATGTTCATGTGCATGCAAATTACTATTATCAAATGTTACCCCCATTTTGCCTACCACTTGCTGGCCGTGACGTCACGGTGAGAGAAGACATTTGAAGTTTAGGTTCTTAAGATGTTGAGAAAAGAAAAAGTGAGACATTCCCTGCCCCACAGGTGTCCTGATGACGGGAGCGCCGCTGGACCGTGAGGAGACACCCGTCTACACGCTGGGCGTCCTTGCCAAGGACGGTGGCGGGAAGTCCTGCTTCACGGAACTCACCATCAACCTGATCGACGTGAACGACAACCCGCCCAAGTTCGAAAAGCAGCAGTACCTGGTCCCCGTGTACGAGAACACGGCTGTGGGCACGTTGTTGACAAGGGTACAAGCCACCGACCCTGACATGGGTATGTATGCCTGCCAACGTGATTCTCATCAAAGTCTGATTACAGGAAGTTGAGAAAACAGGAATGCTGAGTGTTTCTGCTCAGAAACCAGGCAAAAGAAAGTTCATTAGGAACAAGAAAATGTCACACAGATGGAACTAATATCAGGGTTCTCACCAGGATTTTTTCACAGCGTAGGGGTCGGGTATAGGAGGGCAACTTTCTGCGGCGCGAGTCGCGCATTGAGTCCCAAAAAGAAGGGGTCTGATATTTTCCCTGAAAAATTTTGAAACTCATAACCCCTTGAGACACTTTTTCTTGCTTACTGGGGGACAGATTTTGTTTTCCCTTTGTTATAGCTTCATTCCAAAGTTACATTTTCATTTTTTAAAAGATTTATGAAGCTTCTGCACCAAAAAAACACCCCTACTCTGGTTGAAAGACAGTGTAGGGGGCTAAATTACAGCGTAGGGGGTCCAAGTCACAGCTTAGGGGGCCCCTACGCTCAAACAGCCTGGTGAGAACTATGAATATAATCGCTTTGCATGCCGTTCAATGCACGTCTTATAGTAGTATGGCAGCACTAGAGTAGATAGTTTGGTTGATATCAATCAACAGCGCATGTTTAACATTATTAACCAGGTTTTGTTTTTCTACTGCTGACTCCCACTCAGGAATGCAAGACGTTAGTGGAATAAGTATGTTATTATTTTGTGTGACCCTTCTAACCAGTGTGTCTAACTGTCCTGAAAGTGGTGTGGACGTGTGTTAAGCATGTAGCCGTACATGTTTGTATGTTTAGAGGTGTTGTGCTGTGAACAGTATCTGTGTGTAATGTATTGTTTGTACATAGAATTATAGTCTCATATTACAGAATTGTTATCTGTCGTTTTTGCTATGGGATGGTAATCTTTGGCCTTTTTTTTGGGTTCCAGGTTTGAACCGAAAGGTGATGTACTCCTTCGTGGACTCGGCCAGTGGTCAGTTCCAAGTGGACGAAAACTCAGGCATTGTGAGTCTGGCCCGGACGCTGGACCGCGAGGCACAAGCGTCCTTTAACCTGACCATCCGTGCGACAGACGAGGGAGCGCCGCGTCGCTCCTCCACTTCCTTCCTCATCATCTCCGTCCTGGACATCAATGACAACCCGCCAGAGTTTGAGTTTGCGGAATACGCCAAGAACGTGTCGGAGAGCACTCCGTCAGGGACCCAGATCTTAAGCGTGTATGCGGTGTCGAAAGACGTAGGGCCCAACGCGGAGATCACGTATGAGATCATTAGCGGTAACGAGCACGGCAAATTTGAAATCGACAAGAAAACAGGTGACCATCTTGGTGTTGACTGGCTTTGTCCTACAGTGAGCCTTGCAAAGTGATGACCTTCAGCATGACCTTGTTCTCTTACCCAGGCCTATAGTTAGCTCTTATGTTCAACACCGACACTGCATGAACAGATTCAAACAACCCCACTCATTACCACTATGCATGATCTGGTAATCTTGATGTCTTCTGTTACCTGTCAGGAATATGTTGTTTTTTTTAAAGATTTTTTAAAAGTCGTATGTGGTCTAATGCACTATTTTATAGGGTTGCACAAGTTAGTTTTTTTACTTGCTTGCATGAACCACAAATTTTAGATACAACAGAAGCTGAATCATTTGCAGAAGACTAGGCACCTGTTCTATATTATTTATAGTGCTCCTGGCCGTAAGAGAACAAGTGTGTTTGCCTGCTACCCCATCACTTTGTATGGTTCATGTCGGTGTGAGAAAACCGCTTGTGATCGCGTGCACTCCGCCGGTACTGAGACCCCATCCTATGTGGGCTCCAACCGGCGAACTAACAGCTTGCAGATCCTTGTCTGTGGTCCTAACATTTAAGTCCTCTCACACTGTAATATTGTATTAGCCTCACCACAATGTATTGATTGATATTATTATCATGCATGGTATGATCATAACTGCTTGTCAAGAAATGTTATATAATCCAGCAGATCATTCAATTCATTATCACAATTCCCAGTGCACTGATTTGCTAACATGATTATAACAAGCTTAAGCTAACAAAATTCATCATTAAGTCAAATTCCACACACCTACTTTCCATACAAGCTGACACTTTCTGTTTGAAGCATGCGTCTGTCGTCTACTTTCTTTCTTTTTCTTCCCACTTGACTTTTACAGTTCTGTTGTTGTGTACAGTCATATAGGTTGACAGTACTTCATCCTATAGGTGGATAGAGCTGGAATGCATTAGTCTTATAATTTTTGTCCCATACGTCAGAATGATAATAGTGTTATTTATGTAGTGCATGCTGACTTATCATAGCATTAGGTATTACCAGACAAGGCCCTGTTTGCTGCTGAAGTTCACATTGAGTGGTCATGTGTGATGGGGTCTTGTGCTGCTGGATAATTGTACGATGCCCTTTGCTTGAAGATCCCACCCAATTCCAATTACGTCGGCAAGCTTCTTTAAAAGAAGTTATTATAACTTGCTGGCCATGAATGACTGCATCGCTGTGGGCTCAAAGACAGCTCTCAACTCTGAACATCCCTCTCCTATGCTTCATTAGACTCTTACAAAGAAGGCTGGTCATGATTCCGTGAAATGAATGGTAGTCTGTGAAGGGCTTTTTGTTTCCCTGTAAAGATATGTCAGGCATCCTACTCAAGTTCTGCTTGTTCCCATACTTACATGTGGTCGCCAAAGTTCACTGAAGGGTTAACAAGTTAGGGAGGCTCATAGATAATTGAGAGGAACAAAGGGGACTAAGTTTTGATCACAGCTTGTGTTCAGAAGCAAGGCACTTAGTCAGCCAAACTCCCTAAGAGCTTTCTTTAGTTAGAATATCTCGGCCATGTGTGTAGGGAGTCTGCAGTAATTGTCTTGAATCCCTCCAGATCAGTCCCTTGGTGTTACACACTAATGGCAACATGTAACTTTGTCTCCCATGCTTACTAGGAAGGAAGTAAGGACAAGTCTTTCCAACCTGTGATTCTTCATTCTGTTCAGCACTTTCTTTTTCTTATCCTGTGACTAGCAAAACACAAGTTAAAGCTGACCATTTCTTGACTCTGCTTCAATCTGCAGGAAAGATCTCGATCGTGAAGACTCTGGATTACGAGGCGTCGCAAGGCTACTACCTGACGGTGAAGGCGAGCGACGGCGGCATGCCCACACTCAGCGACATTACAACCGTTAGCATCAACGTCACTGATGTCAACGACAATGCTCCTGAGTTCAGCATGAAAATGTACAGCGCTTCTATCAGTGAAGATGCCCACACGGGAGACAGTGTTATCCAGGTAAGATACTCAATAAGAAATCAGATCCGGTACATAGACATGTCGATGAAGGTTAGACATCCAGGTAATGAGATACACAAGGAAATTGTTCTTCAAGCAACTAGATAGATTTTGAAAACTGTCAGATGTTTCAAGAAGCAGCAACTGCTTTTCATCAGTCATTGACGAAAAGTAGTCGATGCTACTTAAAACGTCTTCCAAGTGGATGCTGTTGATCCAAGTTGTTTGAGTTTCCTTGTGCAGTACATGGACACAATTTGAAAGAAAGTAACTTTTGCCAATTGAATAACTATATATTCTCTCACAGGTGATGGCTACAGACAGAGACAGTGCACCGAATGCCCAAGTGACCTACACCATTGTCCGCGGTGATCCCAAGGGCCAGTTTGACATCGCACCCAAGCTTGGCATTATTACTGTCAGAGGAGCTCTGGACAGGGAGGAGGTACATATCATTAACATACTTCATGAAGTGGATCGAGATTTCAAATTGTAAAACAAAGACAGAATGCAGCTGTAGGACATTTTATGACTGCAGATGCTGAACACAAGAGAGAGAGGTTGAGTGAATGTGTGCTAGCTCTGCAACTTTGTTCTGGACTTGGCTAAGACAAATCTTTGTTGTTCCAGGTTCAGGCTTACTCGCTCACAGTACGTGCAAAGGACAGCGGCACCCCTGTAAACGCCACTGAAGTGGTGGTAAATGTTGACATCTTGGACATCAATGACAGCCCACCACAGTTTGCACAGGGCAACTACAGTGTATTTGTGCAGGTTAGTAGCAAACATAACAGGATACATTTTCAGCTCTTCACAACACCTACACACCTATTCCTCATGTCCATCATTGTGCTTGTGTTGTTTTTACTACTTTCTGTCCACGCGAAAGCTGAATATCATGTTTACTCTCGAGCTTTCTCCAACGTTTTTTGTGTGAATCATTATATTTTGTAATTCTTTGTTATCGTTTGTGACCATCATCAACTTGTCTGCTTTACTGTGTCTCTGTGTCTGCTTTAAAATCTTTGCTGTCTTGTTTCAGAGAAAGACCTTGTTTTTATCCATGCTTCTCTCAAGCTTTTCTCTTCACTTTTCTGATGCCTCTTTGTTCTGCCCCCTCAAAAGCCTTTGTAAAAAAATATTCATCATATTTAGATATTTTCTTTTGAGTTTGGATTCCCTTCAACTTGAAGTGCAGAACAGACAGGAACATGCCCCATGTGATTTCTTACAACTCATGCACCCATTCCTTCTTCACTTTCCCTGTCCCTGTGCCATGGACAGACCTGTGCTAAGGGATTGCAGTGCCAGTTCCCCCAGGGTGGAATGGTTAGTAAGGGAATAATAGACGTGTGACTAAATGTAGCCACAGATCGTCACCTACACAACAAAACTAAGGGAAGGGTCAGATGGTGCATGGTAGAGGGATGTTTACCTGCACAGGAGGCTCTGTCATCATAGGTCTGACATTTTGTTGGAGTGAGTCCTGCTATGTGAGATTAGGATGTGCTACTGCATGTGATTTGGATTTGCATGTCACTCAGTTGGCTGGCAACTTATCACTGCAGTGTATCACCTCACCAGAACCACTTTGGTCATTATTAGATTCAGTTGAAAGACAGGAGCAAGTTGAAAACAAACATGCACTGTACTGGCACCTTGGACTTGCAAGACTTGACAGCATAGTGTATGGAAATTTTACAGATGTAGGCTAGGACTGAATGATAGGTTTGAATTACAGGTAATATATTGGATATTCATAATGCCACGTTATTCATGACACATTTTTGTCATTGTTTGCAGGAGAGCAAGCCTATCGGTACAAGCATCCTCATGTTCACTGTCAAAGACTTTGATGCCCCCCAGAACGGACCCCCGTACACCTTCAGCATCATCAGTGGTAACCAAGGCAACGAGTTCCACATCGACCGCAGTGGCATCCTTCGCACATCGGTTGTCTTTCAGTCGGACATGCGGCGTACATACAACCTGCAGGTCAGGGTGGCGGACGCAGGAACGCCATCTCTGTACGGTTACACCAACGTGGTGGTGGAGGTGATCGAGGAGAGTATGTACCCGCCAGTCGTGACTGGCCACCAGATCTCCATCAGCTCCTTCCAGGATAACTTCCCCGGAGGCGTCATCGGCAAGCTCCACGCCACCGACAACGACATGTACGACAAACTCACCTACAGCCTGGTCTCCAACAACAAGCGGCTGTTCGGCGTGAACCCCAACGACGGAAAAATCATCGCCCAGCCCGGGTTGGATGTCGGCGAATACACTCTCAACATCAGCGTCAGCGACGGCAAGTTCATCACGGCTGGAGAGGTCAGCGTGACAGTGAAACTTGTGACCGACGAAATGCTTCGGAACAGCGTGACGATAAGGTTCGCCAACATCCAACCCGAGGAGTTCCTGTCCTCGTACCAGAAGGAGTTCTTCCGCACGCTGCGCAGGCTGCTCAAGGTGAAGAACAAGAACATCATAGTTGTCAGCATGCAGCCTCTCGACGGCAACCTAGATGTTCTCTTCTGTATCGAAACCACAACTAAAGGCTCGCAGAAGGAAGACTACTACAAAGCCACAGCCTTGAGGCGCGAACTCAACCAGACGGTGATGGACATTCAGCAGAACGTCGGCCTTATGGTACTCCAGATCATCAGCGACTCCTGCTCGCATAACAAGTGCCCTGAGGGAGCTTGTCGAGACATCCTGAATTTGGACATCCACGCCATCGCCGCCATTAGTACAGCGAAGATCAGCTTCGTGTCGCCGCGCCACATGAGGGACTACGAGTGCAAGTGTCCTGGCGGGTTGATCGGGAAGGACTGTAACCCATGTAACAGCAACCCCTGCCCGAGGTATAAGATGTGCCTGCAAGATCCCAAGTCCATCGAGGGTTACGAGTGCGTCTGCCCTGACGGCACCTCGCCACCAAACTGCAACCAGCTGCCGTTTGATGGTAAGTTTCTGTAGATGTTTTTGGCTTTCTAAAGTGCCAAGTCATAGCAAACACATAAAAATGGTTCATAATACTTTCACTAGTGATTGTACAACTGTGTGACCCAAGGGCTACAGAAACAGAGATGGGCACAGATCTATGCACCACAGGTGCTGGAAGGATATTAACTTAAGTTTTAACTTAATAGTATATTGATGTATATGTGTCTTTATGATTTAAACTTGTAGAATTGAAATCTCAAGTCTCACTTTTATTCTCGTTTCCTCTCACAGACAAGGGCCCGATGACATTCGGCGGGAACAGCTACATCAGGTACACCCTGGCCAACAGTGTGGACCAGATGTCCACCCACTTGTCCCTGGCTATTCTTCCCAGAAGTCCCAATGGAAAGATCATGTATGCTCGGGGAGAGTATGACTACAGTATTCTTGAGGTATGTTTATGATCTATTTCAGAAAGATTCATAGTTCTTTGTACAGTATAAAGTATAATCTGAGAAAAGTTTATGGTGCTGTGATGGCATGACTGATGAAAATCAAATGAAAATGGAGCTGCACAAAATGATGGTTTGTTTTGTTTTTGTTCCAGTTGATCAATGGGTATCTGCAGTACAGGTTCAACTGTGGCAGTGGTGAAGGCAAGGTCACCATGGAATTTGGCAGCGGGTCGGAGGTCACTGATGGCAAGTGGCACTATGTCGAGGTTTCTCGCAACGGCGCTTACGCCGAACTGAAACTTGATCACAAGTACATAGCAAGAGGCAGTGCTGCTGGCGAGAACAAAATTCTTAACCTGGATGACAACGATATCTACTTTGGTGCAGAGGTGTCCAACGGTCGTCGGAAGAAGCGTGCAGCAGTTGTGAGCAACGGATACCTTGGCTGTATGGACGACATGATGTTGAATGGGGAAAGGTTGCCACGTGCAGGGGCAAACAGAGTCGCAACTCTGAGGGACATGACTGACGTTGATTTTAATTGTAATGACGGGATGGAGACTCTTGGCGTGTGCGGTAGCAACCCGTGCATGAATGGTGGGAGTTGTGCAGTGGTTAGTCCGTCCAATAGGTACATCTGCAACTGTCTTCCACGATTCAGTGGCGACAACTGCCAGATCGACACTCAACCATGCAACTCCAACCCATGTAAGAACGGGGCCCGCTGTAAGAACTTGTTGAACGACTTCGAGTGTGCGTGCCCACGAGAATGGTACGGCAAGCGTTGCGAACACTCTACCTCATGTAACTGCTTCAACGGGGCGACCTGCTCGGACACACCAAGCGGCAAGACCTGCAACTGCCCGGAAAACTTCACGGGCGAGAAATGCCAGGAGGACGTCAACGAGTGTTCGCGGAACCCGTGCCAAAATGGTGCCACTTGCCACAACACCGAGGGGTCCTATTTCTGCAACTGCACTGCTAACACCAACGGCCTTCACTGTGAGAACATCATTGAGATGATCATGCCCAAGATTGAGTCCAACAGCATCAACATCGGCCTGGAGGAGATAATCGGCATCATCTGCTGCATCATCTTCCTCCTTCTGCTCGTCATCATCTTCGTCATGGTGCGCAGGTGCAGGCAGAGGAGGAAGCGCAACCCTCACATGAGCGACATCGTCGCCACCGGCGGCGACCCAAACGGGATAATGATGACCGAAAAAAGAGATGACTTCCACCGCGACGCCAAGATGGTACACATCGACACCAACCTGGACGACTACAGGCCGCCGCTGCCGGCCAGACCCATCTCCTACACACCTAGCCTTTGTGGGAACTCACTGAACAATCTGAGTGACGGGGCGATGGGCGCTGAGGTGGAGCCCGTCTTCTCCTCGAGCACAGACATGCTCGCCGTCAGAAATAAGAACCCTGCCATCGTGTGCAGCGTCGCGCCAACGTTACCGCCACCACCGCCTTCCAACTCAGCATCAGACAGTGACTCCATTCAAAAGCCAGCTTGGGAGTTTGAGTGTCCCAACGTTGTTGAAGGATATGTAGAAAGTAAGTAACAACCTGTATGTGAACACCTCACTGTCGTCACCTCATGTCATATACACCTGTCCTGTGCACCTTTGTCTTGTATCCAAAAGCAGGAGTACCTTTAAAATGTGAGTAGGACTAGACTGGAAAATTTTAGCACTTCTAGTAGGTGTTAGCACGAGGCACTCACACTCAGACAAGGTGTAGGTGGAAGCCGAAAGCAAGCCGTAGTCTTAGCTACTACTAACACTGCAGTTGTGGTAGCACGGAAAAAGACGATAAGAGGGCGGCACATTTTTGAGTGTACTCCTCCTTTTGCAGGTAAAGTGAATGATGCGGATGCAGTGATGAACAACATAGCAAATGATGAGATGCAGGTCTACAGGAATGAAGGAGGCAGTATGACTGACATGGTCTCCCTAAGTTCACTGCCCTCTGAATCATGTGATGAGGATAATATGCCAGGTACGTCCTAGGGGAGGCCGTCGGTGGAGCCTTCTCGGTAGCAGGGGGAGAACCACTTCTTCTGTGTAGTCTGAGCACTCTTCAAGACTAATAATCCATTTCACTTGTTCATCACTGTTCATCACTGCACGATGTGTGTGTCATGCAAACTATCTTCATATCTCTCTCTTAAATCATTTTTGAGGTGTATGTTGTTATCTACTATCTTTATCTACTATGGTGAAACTCTTGATGTGTATCTAATACTTTGGTGATACATGTAGTTATATATCTGATTGTCATGTCATGCCATCCTCCATGCCTGACTACCCTGTATTCTTCCCTCTCCATCGACAACCCTAACTACCCTTGCTATCTTCTTTAACTAGTTCGTGAATGAAGTAACGTCATAGGCAAAGGAATGTTAGAGGAAGAAGAGTCCGTGTGTTTACCTTTCTACCAATCGTTTGACATGTATGGAGTCAAATTAACGTAACATGACATAAAGGTTAAGAAGTATGTAATTGTTGCCTGATGTTAGACATTATTTTGACTTGTCTTTCTTGTACTACTTGAAAAGGACAGCTGTAAGTACAAACAGGCAACTAACCGATCATTCCCTCTCTCCATTCCACCCTCCGCTGTTTGCCCCCACTGCCCAGATAACTTCAACAATCTTGACAAACCTGGAGGTACTGCTATAGTTTTAGTGTTGCTCTCCTTATGGTTATCCTTCCAGTCCAACCCAGGCAAAAACAGAGGCCACCTTTTCTTTTTTTTATTTCTCTTTTTTAGGACCAAAAAATTGCTGCTTTCTGGCTCAATGTTTATGTGTTTGGGCGTGTCTGGGCTTTGCAATGGAGCCTCAGTTTTGCCTGTCTAAGTGTAGTAAGACTGAAGAAAAGAAAGTTGACTGTCCTGCTAAGCCTACCACCTTTCACTCCTTTCTCTCCTCCCGCCTCTCTTGTGCACATCTGTAGGCAGAAAGCATGCAAAGTTGAAAACGTTCCAATCGGGATATACGTAAGTATGTGCACAAATTCCATCGAGGAGTTAAAGTTTGGCCCCAGGCCTCCATGAATGATCCCACATTCTCATGCATACAAAACTTGTTGTCACTTTACAGTGTGATGTGTCTCTTGAGATTTCTTGACGTTTGCGACTGTACCCATCCAAGCTTGTATCTCTCTCTCACTACAGAGGAGAAGAAATCGTACTATAAAAAATTCAGCTTGTACGGTATGGTTACAGAAGAGGACTCACCACTTCATTCGGTGGTTTAGATGTATGTCCCACCTTTTGCTTCTTCCAGAATATCAAATTTTTCGTTGGTTTCTGTACCTCTTTTTTTAACCAGAAAAAAGGAGTAGCAAAGTAAAAAAAAAGCTGGATTTTAACTCCTTCGTGGAACTTGCGTATGTACTGTGGCTTACTGTTTTGTGTCTTTAAGTAGTTCTCAGTGTGTGGAAGTTCAACCATACCCATGCACTGTGGACTGAAAGGTATTGTGTATCGTGGCAACTCTAATGCACGCTGGCAATGCAACAATTTGCTGCAAGTGAAAAACCTTAGTACTACACATTACCTGTATTTAATGCATGACAGAATGATACACAATGATGAAAACCGAATAACGCAACGCTGAAAACGAATATTTCCAGTAGAGTTATACTTGTCTATTTTGGACGACTTTGTCTTTTTCTCCTGTCTCTTTACTGACTTTTCTGGTCACAATTCTTCCCCCATTCTGTGTTCAAGATGTCTACTAATAAACCCTCTTTCACTGTCCTTTCACATGCTGTCCGTATATGTAGAAAAAGTCAACAACTTACAGCAAGCCAAAGGTATCTTTACAGTCATTTGCAGTAACATTTTATATATATATATAGCAATGTTATGGAATCTTTACATTGGTATAGAGAGCTTCTTGTGTGTAATTATTATGTTTCACACTTTCATGCCTATAGACTATGATGTACATGTGTACGAGACGGATGGGAAACATGCGGATATGTTTAGAAGGCAGCTATACAGATTGATCTAGACACACCGGCAGGTAGAGTACAGTTCACCCAGCAGTGTTCATTATGGGTGAGGGGGAGGCTTCCTCAGACCTGTTAAGGCTGCCATAATTTTGCACACAAATCACTCACAAACACTACTAGAAAGGTCACATACAGTCATTTTAAGGAAGTTACTTTAATAAAGACATACACAACATGAGCAGAAATCCTTGACAGGTCTGTAATTCTAAGGCTGGGTGGCACTGGCTTATCAATACCTTCTCCTTACGCTGTCTGTGGTGATTGGCATACTCTTTGGGAGCAAGGTTACCTGGCTGCTTCTCTGGGTTTTCTTTTTACTCCACTGGTGGTTGTCAAGGCACTCCTCACTATCTTCTTTGATAAATCAGCATAAGCAAGTTGAAAAGGTGATTGATTAGGATGGATTGTGGAGTAGGTTATTGAAACTATTTTCTGCATCAAGGAGGAAAAAAATTCTTGTAACTACTTGAATTTTCTATAAATTGTAATTACAAGTAGCTGGAAAGCAGCCAAAATTACCATCCAAAATAAGCCCATAAGTGCCTGCTGTGTGTGTGGGTAGACTGAAGCGTGGCCCCACATTGAACCCTACTTCACTTTACCTGTCTTGGGCGCTGCATGAGTGCTGAAGGCATGCTCCCCTTCATACACTTTATAAATCATTGGGTCCCAGGAGGAACCCAAACAATTTCCTGTGCCATATCGCCAATGGATGTAATAAAGCCCCCAGTGTGTAGTTGGGAAAACCACTCTCCTAAATTGAGCTTGGCTGGGGCGAAATTGCGTTCAGGTTTTTAGAAGACGTGCTTCTTGTCTGGGCCACAGGTTCCTCTGGAACATATTGATTTTTTTGTGTCAGCCTCAGCCTCTCCTTGGAACATGGCAAATATGTCTAGACATGACATCTGCATAACACACTGTCAAGTAATCTAGCTCAGGCGAAATGGTAGACACCAGGTCTGCAAAATGCCTCTTCCTTTGCAGCTCATTGCATAGGGTGATGTATAAGAGACAACTTTTTCTGGAATGTTAATAATTGTAATGTCTAACCATTGTTCCCCCCTCCTCTTCCAGGGTACCACTGGGACTGTTCTGATTGGATGCCCAGCAGTAACCTGCCCAATATCACAGAAGTGCCAATGTGTGAGATGCCAGACTCCTCCTCCTCCTCCAACAACCACAGCCTTCCCCACCAGCCACACCCCCACAACCTCCAGTACGACCCCAACGTCTACAGCGACGGTTACCAAGGCGACCCCAGCGACTACACCGACCACGAGTACGTCACCCAGTATCCGGACGATGAGTATGGCGCCGGGGAGAGCGACTTCCCTCCGCCGCCGCCAGATGAAAGCTATCTACAGTACCCCGACGACTATCAGGACGGGTTTGCGCCGATCCAGCCTCCCTCCAACATGCCCGTCCCCGAAGGCGACCACATGTACCGACCGCAGCACTACCACCCCAACCAGTACCTCCCCGCACACCACCTCTCCGACGACCAGCTGCCCATGACGGAGCAGGAAGAGCACGATTACGTCTACCCGCCCAGCTACCAGGAATCCATGAGCCAGCTGCCGCCCGGGTACGAGGATTACGGCAACGGGAGCGAGTATAACGCGGACTATGAACAATCCAACATCGACGACGTTTCAGTCTCCATGTACACCACGTCCAACGCGTCCGTGTCGGACCTATCCGGGGCTGACATGGACGAGAGCGAGGTGGCGTTGAGCGACTACGAGAGCGGCGGGGAGGGAGACAACGAGGGAAGCCAGGGTAACCCACGAAGCATGCCCCAAAACGACTTGCACACGGAAGTCTGACACTCACAGAAAGTTGCTTAGCTACACCAGACTGGTGTATCATGGTGTAAATGTAGCTTTGGACAAGTGCCTGTACTGTATATTTGTAGTTTGTGATTAAATAATGTATGTACAGTTTTTGGACTTCAAAAGTCACCTATAATGTGTAAAGATGCTGAAGAGATGGTAGTGATGTTTCTTCAGCAGTCCGTATTTTCTTATGGCAATCATATCATATAAAGACTTTTAGGAAAATCCAGCATTTGAAAAAATATGTGTACGTACCAATGTTTTACTAGAAAGTTGTACCAAAGATTTCCTTGTAGTGGAATGGTAGTTTGATTGATTGTGAGTCAGAAAATAAGAAGTTTTAAGATGTCTCTTACAAGGAAGCCTTCATTAACCGAGGTACACAAAACTATTTAAATAAATAATGCGGCTTTACTGTTGGTATTGTAGATTGTAAGTAGACGCAATTTGTTCCCAGTCTGCCAACAGACTAGACAGTGAACAGTGTAACAAGTATTGTTTCTTATCTGTGTTCGTAAGTTGGACAAGTTGTTCTCTCCAGTTGGTCGGGTGCTTTTACTAGATAGTCGACACCCCCAGCTCTTTATATGGTGCTGCATTTCAGTATTGTAATGTTGATTGTGAGCTCTCGAACCACCAGCTTCCCCAAGGTCTGGACTGTACGAAATCATTCTATTTTCAGCAATAAATATTTTATACCATTGATGGGAAACGAGACATCCTACGTAGCCCAGCTTTGTAAAGTGACGTACATGTAGTTAATTTGAAGTAGTTTTTAGACTGTGTGCAGCTTTTATATGATTTTTATGTTGTTGTCCCTTTTGTGTTTGCATCGTTTAAAGTCAACACAGTGGAGGTGCTTTGAGGCCTCTGGAGGGATGTGCAAGTTGTTGGCAATGATTTGGATTTTGAGTTGCAAGATTGAATGTTGGCAGAATTTTTTCTCCTTCCAAGTGAAGATGAGTGTTATCAAATGGTTATGATGTGTATATTTTTCCACATTTTGGAATGGTAAAAAAAACTACATCCATCCATAGAACATAGTACTACTTGTATCATAAACTCTGGCTTCTTTACAGTCTGCTCTCTTTTATCATATTGCCAAATGTAACTAGTATTGCTTGCAGAGAAACCTTCAAATTAGAATCCGCTGTCCATTTTCGTAGTAATTTACAAATGAAGTCACAAATTTTGATGTATATTTTGTCCTGAAAACCACAAGTGTAGTTCTCACTGTAAAATACTGGTCCTGGCTGAGTTTTCCTGGAGGTCATTTCGATGTAAGTGACTTGTAAGAAGGGCAGAACACACTATTTGTAAATTCAAAATAAAACATCTTCAGATCAGAGTATTACGACTTTTGTATTTTCTACATTAAAACTGTTGAAAAGATGTGTTCATCTCTCCCCTGTACTGTGTTGTCCTTTTGTTGTGTGTCTATCAATAATTTTGATGGATAAATGATATACACATCTTATAAACATCGCCTTTTGGATAGGGGAGCTAATGAAAAATTTGAGCTTCTGGGTTCAAGTTCATTCTGATTATAAAAGCAACCTACATGTACAGGTACTTACAATGCCGGCAGATATGCAAGCAGATGTTGGGAGGCAAAATTGAAATATTTACCTAGCTGGCCTTTCTGTTACAAACCACCTCCCTGTTCTAATGACAGGAACGGGAGCCTAGGACTTGAATGTGATCTAGTAAAGGGAAACATGATTTAGCCTCCCAACATCTGCTTGGAGGTAAGAGAACCAAGGTTGAACATGGTGGGGATAAAAGGTGTAACAACAGTCACTTTTGAGCAGAGGAGAGCACATCAAGGTTATTCCATAGGATAGTGGTAATGTGGAGTATCAGACATGACTTGGTAAACTGTCTCATAAGTCACACAGATATGCCTGTCTGTCTCCATACTGAAACAACAATATACAGCAGTTGAAGAGACTCATATTTACAACATAAACAAGTGTTCTTAGGCGACAATTCTCCGTGAAGTTTTATATTTTGCAGATTGAGAACAGTATAGAGTATGTAAAAAGTGTGTGATCACTTTATTTAACAACTGGTAACAACGTATCGTAAAAATGGCTAAATCCCTGGTCTAATAATCTAGCCTGACTATAGATCGCGCTCCTGGTGGCCACCTGCCCAGAGGTTTGCTTCCCCCCTTGTGGAAACAGTGTAATCACAGGCTACATAAAATCAACAACACGACGATCTAAATAGATGAACAAAGTCAGTTTTCATAACAATATCTTTCATTTACTACATATTATTCATTTCACAAGGTATCGCAGTAGGTGCAAACCACAATCCCAAAAGATACTCGCGACCATTATGCACAACAGCCACCTACATGTAATATCTGCTTAGAGAACCTCTGCTACCAGATAACTACCTAAACCTACGGCCTATTCCACAGGATTGTAAAAGTCGGGATGCTTCTAAAATGTGCATTTACTTCAATATCAAAACTGCTACGGTGAAAATAAAAAGACGTGCATCATCACGGACATATTTTAAATGGCGCGATACTTGGGGCGGTAGAAGAAGTTTTCCGCCGCCCGGCTTCAACCAGGTAACCGGTCGCTGTAGGCACCTGTTGGTGCGTTTTGCGCGGTGAGAATTGTACAGTCAGGGGTCCCAAAGAATTAATCAGAATTTTACGGAAATACGATCCTTACTAGAAACATACGAAGTTTACGGAATACATACTATCCATTACGCGGAAACATACGATCCTTACTAATAATTTTGGGGTCATTTGGTGACTTGCCGCAGCGATCACCGGTTCCACCATTTCCCAGCATCGCCCTGCCGTTTGATCTAAAATAAAGGCGCCTACTATGTCGTGAAAGAAGTCCGCATAAGTGCTGTTTGAGATTTAGTAGGGCAGGACAAGCCCTTAAAAGTCTTTGAAACCAAGGTATTGTAGGGATAACATCGCTATAATAGTTCGCCATCTTGCTGCCGATGTCGCGAAATTAGTAAGGATCGTATGTATTCCGCGTAATCGATCGTATGTATTCCGTAAAATTCGTATGTTTCTAGTAAGGATTTTATGTATTCCGTAAACTTCGTATGTTTCCTAGTAAGGATCGTATGAATTCAATAAAATTCTGATAAATGTTTTGGCACCCCTGATCGTAACCGCGCAAAACTCCTACCGAGACATAGGTAAGTCAGGCAGCGGGGAGCATACTAGTCTAAATTGACCACAGAGCCTCGAAGAGAGCCCGCCCTATCTACGATAGGACACAGGATACGTTGCGAACACGTTACGAAAGTAAAGTGCAGTACATGGATCAAAAGCGGCTCCTAGCAGTCCTGCAGCAATACATTGGCTCAGTTGCTCCTATTACTGCAGTGATGTTGTGGGGGCGCTTTTGATCCATAGGCATAGCGCTTTTGATCCATTTTAACGTGTCAGAACTATAGAAGCAGGGTTTCTTTCTGAATAGAAAGGTAAAGTGATAAGGCAGCCGTTTGATTATTCTTCAATCCTCATTGATTCAAATAGACTAGCACTAAATTAAAGAAAATAAGGAAAGATTGTAGCTTTCTGAAAGAAATTGATGGAAGGGGAGGGTGCCAGGAAAGGCGTTAGCTACACAGAGGGCGAAAAAAACACAAAATTTACCGAATACTAGTAGTTGATCGATCCAAAATTTTATGTTTGCATTATAAGGCATATTGTAAGGCATGTCAAACTGAGAAACACTCGAGACAATATTTTGATCAAAGCATAACAAATTGCAATTCGGGACTGTGTAAAGTAAAGGTGCATTGTGTTAAAAACCCGTTAAAACCAACTGTAATGCTGTCATCTATTGAAATAAAGATTAAAGGAATATCTTTAAGGTCGAATGATATATTTGTAAGGCAAATAATGATATGATAATGGTGTTGGTCTGTTACGTTCTTAAGGTTAGCAAAGAAATGCAAATTATGATGATTCAATAACAAATGAAGATCACACCTGTGTGTAAACTAAGTTGATTTAATCATTTAATTGAGAATATGCAAATTTTGGTGCTCTCTTATCAGGTGCTAAGACCACGCTTCGCCTTGGGGAAGACGGCGTGCATGGCAGGGAAAGAGCTCCCGGTAAATTTCGTCTGGGAAGACGCGTTACGCACGTTTTCGGTGGTGAGTCGCACTTAACATTGTCCTTTATATAGTGGTTACTATTTAAACCAAACGTATTGTAATGAAGTGAAGCTAAAACACAGAATGGTGTGAAGTATTTGTGGCGCCCGGGTTCCCTGGGTTTAAGCCTGCACTTAATAAAACGGCCGTTAAGGGGCGCTTTTTCAGAGCCGCTTTTTTCAAAGCCTTTTACTGCCTTATTTTATCAATGAGCTGTGCTTAAATGTTGTTTAACTGATGTTTGAAATGCATTTCATGTGTTGTGACGGTAACTGTTAAGAAGTAATGTATTTCATGTCTGATTCAATTTGCCATTGGCTATATCATAATGATACATGTAGTATGGTGTTTCTTCAGAGTGAGTGTCAACTTGTCATATAAATTGCTTTGATGTGCTATATTATGTGATATGTATTATGTGTAATTTTCTGTGGTAATGATATTCTATGTGTGCCTTTTCTTGAATGTTTTATTAAACAACTCAAACCCCAACCCAAATCAGGTTTTCAGAACTTTTACCAAATGATGTGACTTATGTTACACACAGTAAACCGTTCTGAAATGAGGTATTTCATGTCTGAGTCAATTTACCATTGGCTATGATTGTATGGTGTTTCTTCTGTCAACATTTGTGCTAATATTTTATGTGTTATGTATTATATGTGATTTTCTATGTTCATGATATTCTATGTGTACCTTTTCTTTCAATGTTCTATAAAACAAAGCATAAAGCTCAACTGAAACCCCAACCCAAATCAGGTTTTCAGAACTTTAACAATGTATGATGCTCTGTGAGTAGTCATATTTAGCCTGTGATCTTTCTTTACACCTTAGGCTTGACATTGTGGGACTTGTCAGCTAGCCTGTGTTCCTGTCCATATTCTGCCTGTGTTTCTGAGGGACCTGTCATCTATCTGAGGGACCTGTCACCTATCTGAGGGACCTGTCACCTATCCATGAGACAAGAGAACATCGGACTTGACTGTGAGTCTCACTTTCATTTATGAACTCTTTCAAAAATGGGGTCTGCATGCCGCGATGCGTAATCAGCCGTTTTAGTTTTGCACAACGGGGCGCTGGGTCTTTCTATTCACCATTAAACATAATGTGTGTAATAAAACATCCAGCCTGTACAATTAAGTGAAGCGTAATACGGGGTCGTTGCTCTGCAGAATTTTGCACCTTGCTATTTGCATAATTTAAAGTCGAACAACTCTGATTTAATGTCAAGTGAAAATCGTGGGCGCTGCCTTACAAAAGTTAGCGTGCTAAGCATGATCGGGACCTGCCATGCAGACCCTTAAAAATGACAATGAAAGATGTTGGGAAAGGGCATGTTTGCGATCCTCTGAATTTTTTGTTCTAAATGCCATTATTTGTTAAAACTGAGCTATGCCTGGCCCTCCCTGCTATTTGTTGTCATTTCTGAGAGTTCACATTCCTAACTAATACCTAGCTTAAGTTGTGACTAATATTTTATTGCAAATATGATGGAGAACACAGTACATTTTCCTATTGAGGAGAGCACTTTTAATAATTGTTGTTTCATTCTGTATAGCAATGGGATATGTTTTCAACAGCATTTGTGATCAAACTGTATTCCCTGATATCTTCATTATGATCCACATCCATCCTTTTAAAAAACATTAAATTTTCTATTATGACAATTGTCCTTCATGTGAAGAAAAAAATCTATATAGTGACATGAAACAATCGATAAGGCAACAATTAACAATGCTAAGGCAAATAAAAGCATTCAAAATGGAAAATTATGATAAAATGAAGAGACATTTTATAATCATAAATTCTAGCTGTAATGTTTACTGGTGAAGATACATGCACAGTGAAGATTTGGCATTTGTTGGTATCTGACAAAATTGTTTTTTGATTTTTCAATGTATGACAGTGCAAATGCAAGGTTTGTAACTTTCAAGGAAGATCCAGAATATAATCTGTTAAAAACAACCACAAAACTTTATTTTGATTCCCTCTTTTTAAAGTCCTTTCAAGATTGTGGAAAAAATCCTTTGTGTGAAGAAATGACAATCCACATGATGAAGCAAGCAATTACTAATTTAAAAGCAAAACAATGCAACATTCAAAGATGAATGATGCCATTTTTAAGCACTCAAACACGGTCAAACATGGTTAAAAATTAGACGAAACAAAGACACTTTTGTGATGATCATGATGAAATGAACAATTCTTTGATGAATCATAATATCCACTCTGACGTG